CTTGAATTGATTATTCCGTGTCCTGCACTCTGACATCAGCAGGAACAGCTCTTGACCTTCCTCTTTGTGACAGCCTTTGAGGTCCTTCTAGAGGGATCTCATGTCCCCCCTCAGTCTTCTCTTCTCCAGGCTGAACATGCCCAGTTCTCCCAGTCTCTCCCCACAGGGCAGTGTTTCCAAACCCTGGGTCATTTTTGTTGCCCTCCTCTGGACCATTTCTAATATGTGCAACAGAAACATTGCAGGGCTGAGTGTCAGGGTCTCATGTGCAGGTCCGCTTTTCCTGTGTGGTCCACAGTGGAGACCAGAAAAAGGCCAGGAAGGAGAATCCAAAATGCACAGTGATTTAAGCTTTGCCCTGCATCCCAGGGAGATTCTAAGTCCCACGCAGAGCCACAAAGCTTTGTGGCTGCGTGGCTCTGGGTCAGACAGCCTAGCCTACCTTGCAGGGATGCGGAGGAGGGCTGTGTGCACCGTCGTAGGCTCCTTACAAGAGGAAAAGAACACAATATTAATGCAATGCAGACATGGATAGGGAGCTGAAACAACTCCCCTACTGGGAAGAGTTTGTAATATTTGGAGCTATTTAGTTCAGAAAAAAATGAGGGATTGCAGGGGGTGGGCATGGTAGAGTTGATGCAATTATGAACAGTGCGGAGAACAAGGACAGATTGCACTCACGTTTTCGTAAGACTCGACCCTGGGGTGTCATCTCAGGAAGCTCGTTGGTGTGAAGCTCAGGTGAGAGAAAAGTCCTTCACCAGCATAAATTAAGCTGGGATTTAGAAACACAGAAACAGAGTGGGTCAGAAGGGGTCCTCTGGGCCATCTAGTCTGACCCCCAGCTCCACCCGGCTCCGCTCATGACATTTGCTTCCTCGGGATGTCATGCTGGGGAACATGGGTTCACACTCATGGCTGTCGCACTCATGTCCTCCTTGCAGGCGCTTGCTTGGTGTGAGTGAAGAAGGCTCTTTCGCATTCTCATTTTACCCAGGATCCGTGCTGTCCTTTCCTCCTCCTCTTCTCTTCCACACCATTCCCAACAACTCAAGAGGCCTGTTTCACACATAACATCAAACCGCTTTAACATTACATGTGCAGACGTGCAGTGCCCACTCAGCATGGCCACTGGGAAGCCGCAAGCTTTCCCTCCTGTTTTCCCCTGCAGTTCTTTGTTATGTCTGAACTGAGAAGAGTGGTGAATACTTCAGTTACGCTTCCGTTATGGATCCAAGGCAACCACCTGCCCATCATCTCCAGATGTTTTGGCCCATGACTCCCAGCTTTCCTGGCGATGGGTTGTACTGACTAGGACTGATGGGAGTTGACGTTCCAAATATTTGGAGGGTCCCAGCTGGGGGAGCTGCTGTTCCTGCAGCTTATACACAGTCATGGCCCCGGATTTATTTATTTTTTTTAAGCGAAGTATAGGGTGTGAATCCTGGTTCCAGTAATGCTGTGGATCTGTGCCAGACTGGGTGGGCTGAGACGTTATTACTCCTCACCGATAACTCCGTCCTTCGCCGACTGTTCCACTGGCACCAGCATTTCCAGCTGTGTTAAAGCATTCTGTTTGCACAGTGACATCCCAGGGTCGTGTGCAGGCAGGCCTCTCGTGCACCTGTGTAAAGGAGGGATGCATCATCTGGGACTCCGACCCGCTCTACTTGCAGGTTTTCACTGCAACCTTGCTCCATGCTGCTGGTTTAACAGGAGCTACCCTGGTGGATAAAAAAAGATTATTTGTAAACAACTAAAAATAGTTTTTTAAAATTTAAATTGGAATTTTAAAATTGAAATCAGATTTTTTTCATTTAAATTGGATTTTTTTAAATAAAATGCTTTTTGAAGAAAAATCTATTTGAAGATAGTTTCTATTTAAGTTACGACATAGTCCAAAATTTATTTATCATGAAATTAGTATTCATTTTTAATTATGTAGCATGAGGCTGTATATTCATGCATCATTTAAATTTTTTGGTAATGAATCCCATTAAAACATTCACAATGTCATGCTCTTCCAGAGGTTTCTGTAAGATTATTGGGCATTTTTTCTATCTAGAAGATATTATCAGAGATGCTTGGTTTGACAGTTTTCAAAACTGTGAATTAGTGTCTGCAGAGATCACATGCCTCTTCTTCACAGCAAAAATGTTATAAAATAAACATACAGACTTGAGAAAAAGACCTTGCTCTCATTGTGCCTTTGCAAACATGTGCGCAGAATCGGCCCCTTCATGTGTTAAGTTTTTAAAAAACCAATGAATAGAAGAAGTTTTTTGGGAGTGGAATAGATCTACACAAGAAGCTAAGTGTGAGGAGGGAGGGGCAAGCAGTAAAAATGAAGGGAAACCTTTAAGCAGAATACTCCACAAGTCTTTGGATCTTTTTGTACCTAGCCTGAGGTTTACCATATTGTTCTTTCTCTGGAGTAGAAAACCTCCAGGCAGCTGGCTGTCAGTGAGACCCAGTTTGGGAATATTTTAATGAAGTTCCTCTACCTATAGGTAAGGTAGGCAAATTATGCAAATTATGGAGAAAAACATGATTTAACTCTAGTCTCACTCATGCTTGAAATCGATTTGATTTAAGTCACATCCACTCTGGCAGCTACTGTATGCTGAGTCAGACCTTGGTTCAGCTGCCCCGTATTGTTGGCCCAGACTTGAAGGCGTCTTCCGAACTTCACTTGGGAAAACCAGGGCTCAGAGCTGAGCCTCTTCCCGGCAGAGCAGGCTTGGCCCCTCGGAAATGGAGCTTTGCCACCCTCCGTCCTAGCTCGCTTTGGGGGCCTGAGCCCAGCTGGGTAAAAACAGCCATGGGGCACGGCTGTTCTGGAGAAGGGTTTAGCACGCTTGCTGTGGTGTGGCTCTTTGCGCTTGAAACTGAACCCTGGTTGGGGCCAGACGGGGCTGAAGACACTGGCGGGTCCTGCAGATTCCCCCTCCAAGAGCAACTGTCGCTTCCTCCTCTCTTAGCTTGGGTGCAGAGGTTGCTTATGCCGCCCTCTGCTCTGCATGAGCTGGAAACGAGGCAGGCTTGTGCTAGGGTTTCTTTCTGGCAGCTCCAGCCTGCGTGATCTGTTTTGCTGGCTTGCCTTCCAGCGCGGTGCTCTTTTCTCCCCCCTTTCCTTTCTTCTTCTCCATCTTCTGTGAACCAGCTGACACTTGCTGCAGTGCTGCGCTGCCTCCCTCAAGGAGCTGGGGAATTGCATCGCCAGCGGGAGAGTTCGGAGCGGCAAGGCGATGAGTCACCGGCTCTGCTTGTGTGGAGTCACTTTGGTTCCGTTAAATGGTCAGGTGTGCGGGTGTCTCTCCCGCTGCCTTGGCTTTTCTGTTCCGACGGGGCCCGAAAACGCATTGAGCCAAACGGAGAGAGTCCCGCAAGAGCACCCGATGATCAAACTATGGGGAAATGTGCAAACGTGCAGGCTTCTTGGATTTTCACACGCCATTGTAGTTAGCGCATCTCATTTTCCTCCTCCTTGCAATTCTGCTTTCCATGACCTCCTCCTCGGCACCTTCACTTTTAGGATAATTTTTTCTGCAGTCAGTTTCGTGGACGCTAGTCTGTGAACCATTGGCATGGTGTACTAAATGTGTTAGTCTCTGTTAGGACTTGTATTTAAGATTCCTCAGTCGCTGATCACAAATCTTACGTGAAGACGTCATCATTGCAAAGCCAAACAAACACAGATGTGGGGCAGTGTTATGTTAGTTTTTTCCTCTCCACCCCCCTCTCACATATATTGGACCACAGTTCCCATCATCTCCAGTGAACTGTGAGTGTTGTAGTTCAGCATAAGTTGATCCCCCACCTCTACCGCTTTCCATTTCCCAGATTGGCTCATGGATACAGAACAAAAAGGAACACCATATCCGCGCTAAAATAACACTCGTTCATGCAGATCTAACACTAAAAAGCAAAACTGTATAAAAGTGTTGAAAGCCTCAAAGATTCTTAAAAACCCAGAATGCTAATGGTTGGTCGGTTTGGCCTAGAACTTAGATCAGCTTTCCTTAACGAGGTATTTATTTTTATTTATTTATTATATTTTCCGATTTATATCCTGCCTTTTTCCTATAAAGGGCTCAAGGCAGCTTACATCATTCTCCTCCTCCATCTTATCCCCACAACAGCAACCCTGTGAGGTAGGCTGGGCTGAGAGTCTGTGACTGGCCCAAAGTCACTCAGTTGGCTCCATGGCCGAGCGGGGACTCGAACCCGGATCCTCTGAGTCCCAGCCCCATGCTCTTCACCACCACACCGGTACCCTCCATATGCATTGGACCACAAATCCCATCAACCCCCAGCCAGCACAGTTCAGCACATCTGGTAGGCTTCCAACTGGGAAAGCCTGGATTAAATCACGATAAAGTGAGCAGCTCCGGATCCTCTCTGGGGAGGCCCTTCCAGATGGACCAGAGCCCCAACGATTGCACTTCCTTGCATTGGACAGAAAAACTGTAACAACTTCACGCTTCTCTATTTCTCCATCCTGGCTGGGGTTGCCATCTGCTTCCCTGGAAGCCCCTGCTCCTTGTCTGTGGCAGCTGGGCAGACATTAAATCTATTTTTATTTATTTTATACCTTGCCTTTCTTGCAAACAGAAAAAAGGCAGCTTACAAAACCAATGCATTCAAACAATATAGGAACATGCAATAGACGCAGAATAACCCCAGGCTGCAGCCCGGCTTCTGGGGCAGAGGCTTTCTTGGGTAAAGCAGTTTTTTGCTTGCTCGTAGAAGGACAACTGAGAACAAACTGAGCTTCCTTTGGAAGGGAGTTTTATGGCCACAGAAAAGAGCTTTTCCTGGTGTTTCTTTGAAGGTGGCAGTCCTGAAAGAAGGACCTTTTGCAGTGCTCTGCATCAAAACCATGTTTTGTTCTAGCATTATAACCCTGGGCTCTTCCTGCTTTCCAGAATTTCCCTGTAGGAGCTACTGTGTGTATTTAAAAACATAAACCCTGATTTTCCTCCTCCTTCCTTTCCCAGGCAGATCGGGAGCGGTGCAGAGAAATTTCCTTACTCGATGACCTTTCATCGCAATGTCCGATCGTTTGGGGCAAATAACCAAGGGAAAGGATGGGAAAAGCAAGTACTCAACACTCAGCCTGTTTGATAAGTATAAAGGGAAGTCAGTAGAAGCTATCAGAACTACAGGTAAGGCGGAGTGAGGGAACGTGGCCGAGTCCGTGGCATTTTTGTGAACTTTTCCCTATGCAAATGTGGTTAATTTTCAGTTTGCATCAGAAATGCCCTGAAACGGGTGAGAACTCCTTTGCAGCCCAAGGGCTGGATTCAGTACCAGAAAACCCGTATTCCCATGGTGGGTGAGGCCAAAGGCAAAGCTGGGAGGGCCAGAGTATTCCGACATGATCCTGTGGTAACTTGAAGCTTTTTTTATTGGTAACAAACCTCAGGAGAGGCATTTTTTTAGAATGGGCAGGGCAGAGAATGCTTGCGATGCCACCTGGTTGGTGGCTAGGGGAATAGAAGGGCACGAGGCATCCCAGGGTGAATTTGAGACAACAGGGAAGCTGGATTGGGATCCCAAGGGTGAGGTTCCACACCAAAGCTATGCTTTGTTGAAAGGTTATGTTGAAAAGGATCTGGACGGACTGTGGAAGTGAGCCATGGACAACAAGATGGCGTCCAGTGTGGATAAGTGCAAGGTCTTGCACTTGGGGCATAGGAATGGGTGTCATAAGCACAGGTTAGGGGACAAATGGCTGGAGAGCAGCACTTGTGAAAGGGACCTCGGAGTCCTGGTCGACTGCAGGCTAAACATGAGCCAGCAGTGTGATGCGGTGGTCAAGAGGGCGAACGCCACCCTTGGATGCATAGCCAGAAGTGTGGCTTCTAGATCGAGAGAGGTATCACTGCCACTCTATACGACTCTGGTGAACCCGCAACTGGAGTATTGTGTTCAATTCTGGGGCCCCCATTACAAGAGGGATATAGCAAGGTGGGAATTGGTGCAGCGAAGGGCCACTAGGATGGTGGCTGGTTTGCAGGGGAAGCCATATGAGGAGAGACTGAGGGAACTGGGTCTTTTCGGCCTGGAGGAGGAGACTCAGAGGGGACCTGTTAGCAACAAACGGGTACGTGTGGGGGTGCCACACAGAGGTGGGCACAGACTTGTTTTCCCCTGCGGAGGAGGCCAGGATGTGATCCAGTGGAGCAAAGCTCAGGGAATCAAGATTCAAGGTGGATGCCAGGATGTTCTTCCTGATGGTTAGGACCCCAAGGCTATGAAATGGGCTTCCACCGGAGGAGGTTGAGGCCCCATCATTGAGGGTGTTCAAGGATAGGCTGGACATGCACATGGTGGGCATGTCATGAGCAGAGCTGGCTGGAGCCAGGGGTCAGACTAGATGGCCCGGGAGGTCCCTTCTGAATCACTCTCTGTTTCTGTGTTATTGAACTGCTTGTAAAAATGTGATGCCAGTAGCACGCTTTCCTTAGATTGTTCCAGTGGCTGGCTGGGGATTCAGAGTACTGAAGTTGTTGTTTTATACCTCTGGAAGGTGCCTGGTTGGGGGAAGGCTGCATTAAATAATTTTAGCAGCCCTCCGAACGGCACATGCTGCAGCCTACCTGTCCCCCTGTTTTAACAGAACGCAGCTGTCTTCCCCCAGGGCTGTTGGGTCAGCTACGAGTCGTATTTCATTCTGGGACGTGTATATAATGCAGTGACACATACTTGTTCTCTCTTGTATGTGCTCAGAATAATCCACTGAAAGACATTAATTACAACTTTGAAGCTCCCACACTTGCTTTAATGCTGTATTTGCAATTGGCTTCTTTTCAGGGTTACTAATGAACACAGGAAGTGAAAGATTTTCTCTAGAAAATTCTTCCATTCTGGATGAGCACTGCTTCTGCTCTTGAAAACCTGTTGGTGTGTTGACTGATGGGGATACCTTGATCCTGGTTTAATGGCCGCTCCTCTCGGTCTCTCTCTCCCACTTTCTCCTTCCCACTCTGTTCATAGTTATTCCTAGACATGGCTTACAAAGTCTCGGGAAAGTTGCAGCTGCCCGGCGCATGCCCCCTCCTGCCAACCTGCCAAGTTTGAAGTCTGAGAACAAAGGAAACGACCCCAATATCATCATCGTACCCAAAGACGGTACAGGATGGGCAAACAAGCAGGACCCCCCAGACCAAAAGAGGTAGGAGGAGGGTCCACTCAAAGGCCTTAGCTCAGGGCTAGAGCACATGTCTTGCATGCAGAAGGGGCCAGATTCACCTGCTGGCCTTCTCCTGGACGGACTGGAGAAGGCCTGCAAGATTGAGCAAGATGGCTCAAGATCAGTACAAGGCACTCTGAAATAAAGGTGTGCATGTTTCAGCATTTTGATGAAGTTAGTTTTTAAAAAGTGAACAAGTTTCTAGCCCTCAAGGCAGCAAAGAGAATGCTGCAAGTAAGTGGATAATGGGTGCTTCTATCTCAAAACCCAGAGGGGTGGCCAACCTTGATCTGAAGCATTCCCTTTACCCTTTTCTTGACCAATATAGCACAATTATACAAAGTAAGCAAGAGGACGCTGAGCCTTCGGAGTGCATACAAACGCTGTAAAGTTCAGCACTTTCCTGGGGTGGGACTCGGCTTGCCGTGAATTCTTCTTCTCAGCCCAGGGGTCCTGGCTGCAGCTTGCGAGTCTTTCCTGGCCCGCAGAATTGGTGGGTCGAGCCAGCGGGGGCCTCGGGTGTCCTGAGGAGCAGCCTGGCTTTCTGATGCGGGTGCATGCAGTCCCTTGACCCACCGCTTTCCTTCCCCCAGTTCCAGTGCCACAGCCGCACAGCTGCAGGAGTCGCTGCCGCAGCAGGATTCGCAGAAATCTCTCTCCAGTTTGCAGAAGCTGACACAGTCCATCAGTCAGGAGGTGCGTACGGTTTGTGGGCCTCGCTGGGAAGGCCCAGGCAGGGCGTGCTGGCCCTGTAGTTGCCCGGAGAGGGGAGTCGTCCGGCCGCGGTAGAGCCCTTGGGCTCTTCCCAGGCTGGACATGTCAGTGGCTCCTGAATGAATCGGCCGCTTTAGGGGCTGGGGTGGTTACAGGGAGCACACCCCAGCCCCCCCTTCCCGGGCTAGTGGTCCGTTTCTGAGCACAGCAAGGCACTGGCTGTGATTGAGAGTACTGGCATTTTCTCAGGGGAGGCTGCCCAAGGTTTAAAATCGTCCGGAGTTGCCCTTCTTCCGGTCCAGCTGCTCTCTTGGGCAGGTGTGTTGAGACACAGGGCAGGGCTTCCTCAGCAGGGCTCTGGAGCTTCCTACTGGGGGGCAGAGCTTGCTTCCTCTCTGCTGCCCCCCTACCTCCAGGCAGAAGTGAGTTTTACTAAAGCGGGCCTTTGCGGTCCATTGTTGGAGGGAGTTCTCTTGGGCTGGGTGCTTCTCGTACTCTCTGCGATCGTCGTGCTTGTAGTAGTGCTTTAAATGCTTTTCAGGACTAGGATTAGTTGGGTTTGTTTCAAGCTTGGCTTTATTACAGCGAACTGCCCTGCATGTGACTTTTTCGGGAGGCACGGTGTAAATCGAAGGCATGGGCCGCGAGCTGGTTTTGCCTGCGGCGCCCAGGCACCCTCGCATTGATAGAACAAGGGTAGAGAAAGGACAGGCAGCCAGGTGCAAATGAGGCGGAGGCAGGTGGGCCATGGACCCCCGCAGCCGATCTCTCTCCCTTGGAAGCAGGACCTGGGATGAGGAGGAGGACTTGGTCCAGCCCTGCTTGCTGCAATGGAAAAAGAAAAATGCATAATTGGAAAAGGTGCAGCAGAAGGCGGTCGAACTGATCCAGGGGCTGGAGGAAAGGTGGCTGCAGGTGGTTTGGCTTGGCTTAGAGAAAAGGTGCGGCACGATCGTGGCATGTGGCATCGTGGAGGAAGCGGGTGGCAAGGCCTTTTCTCCCCTCAGGACCCGAAGGGGTTGTTCCATGCAGCAGGTGGGGGGGGGGGAGGCTCAGTACATAGCTAAACAAGGGGACTCCTGACCATGTAGCAAAGGCCACTGCGCTGAACGACTTCTTCCTCCTCAGAGCACAAATTCAGCGCCAGGTGGACAAAAGTCATGGGCACAGCTGAATGGAAAGCCAGCCAGACACGAAGGTGGTGAGTCCCCCGCACGGCTGCACGTGTGGACCTTTCCCGGATCTCCTCGCCAGAGGGATGTGTTGGGAGATGGTGCCGCAGCCCTGGTTTGACGGCTGTGTCCCTCTTCATCTTCCCGGCAGGTTCAAGGGTCTCAAGCCGACTGTTATCCTTCTCTCCCGAGGAATTTCCAACGCTGAAAGCAGCTGGAGAGCAGGACAAGGCTGGCAAAGAAAAGGGCGTCTCAGATCCGTCGTATGGGCCCGGACCAAGCCTCCGCCCCCAGAGTACGTACGCCAGGGATGCTGGACCTTTGAGGGCCGAGGACCATCTTGGGGGCTGCGCTCCAGTGCTGGGCGAGTGGAGGAGCCAAAATCCCACCTGTGTTGGCAGAAAGCACTACTTGCTACCAATAACGGAACCATAGAAGAGGCACTTCAGTGTTTTTGACTGGGGGGGGGAAGCATCACAAGAGCTAAGAAGCCTCCCACCCATTGATAGCTGGGGAATTGGGGGTGGGGCTAGGGAAAGGGGCAGCTCCGGCAGACTCAACGTGGCCCTGCACCCTGGACATAACCGGGTGGGGTGGGGATTGTTTGTACCCCTCCTCTCCTTGCAGTAGTATAACAAAACACCTAGGAGCAAGGCAACTACACCTGCCAAGTCCGATCCTTTTCATTTACTTTAGTGAAGGTGTTTTTACCTGCTTCCTTTTGGAGGTGGGGAAGAAACGCTGCTAAGGTGACTTAGAACAGTTGGCCCCGTGCAGTTCCATGGGAGGGAGGGAGCCAGTATTTAAAAGCAGCAATTCTTCTACTGACCAGATGAGCTGGAAACTGCAGAGGTCAGTGAACACGGCTGCTATTTGGTGGCAGGACAAAAGCAGCAGGTCTTCGAAGGAGCAGAGTTTTGCTAGTTTGGACTTAAAGGCTTATTTATGGAACATTTTTCCGTCGGGGCTTTAAAGCGGAGCAGCCAAGCGTTGATTTTTATCTGTTTGGCACAGTGACAAGCCTGATGGATTTTTTACTTGCCTGTTCTTCGAAATTGCTTGCAGTAATCAATATATTAAACAAATTTATACTGCTTAAAGTGATCACATCTTTAAGTGCATCACCTGAAGCATATTTAGATGGAAAAATAGTCCTGAGGCACGCTGAGAGTCGGAATATCCCTAGGATGGTGTCTTAAGCTGCTGATGTGTTTAAGAGCTCAAATGCTTCTAACCAAGTCTTCCCCACCCTCTGTGGTGCCCAGGGCTTCCCTGTTCAGCCTCCTCTGAGACCCAGTTTAGCAGAAAAAGGGTGAACAGGTTCAGGCCCTTAAAATGGCACAGGCAGTTCTGAAAGTTTGTGGGTGATGCGTGTCGAGACCTCCAGAGCCAGTGCAGGTAATTAAAAATGGTTTTGTTGCCCACCTTGCCAAGATTAAGCAGAGCTTTGCACGATTTACCAGAGAGCTGCCATCCATGGGGCACTGGGGTGTCTGGGACCCACGGTGATGTGGAACAGAATGCTTTGGCATCAGGAAAAAATATTGCTGCGTCGTAGAATCGGCTTGGGTGTTCTCCTACTTTCTACGAGGGGGTGGACTCTGGAGCCAAGAGTGACCTAAGCATCCTTTTGCTAAAACTGGTCCCCTCCAGATGTCTGGACGGCAACTCCCATCAGCCCCAGCCATCAGGGTGATGGTCAGGAGTGCCGGGTGTTGCTCTTCCAGCCCTCCGAAGGAATCAAGGCTGAACTAGGGAGAGGAGATGCTGTAGGATTTAATTTCCTTGTTGCCATGGTGATGGATACTGGTCCTTGCCTGCCGCCAGGGATGGTATCCAAGGAACACTGGTCCCGGTTGCCAGGCAACAGGGATGCGGCAGCCACGAGGGGGCCAGGGAGAAAACAGGAAGCAGCCTGGAAGGAAGCCAGGCTGGGTGGGTGAAGTGGGAGACCTGAGCTGAGAATGAAGTCCTGTTGCCCCCTTCCAAAATTACATCAGAACTTCCTGCTAATTCCAAGGAACTCGGGGAGCTTGTATATTATGGGTTATTCCTTTATTCTCCCTCCCTTCACAACAACCGTTCAGGGTAATGGAACATCCCCACAAACCCAATTTGCATAAGCTTTTTATCTCTCTTTAAAGGAAGGCGCATGGGATAGCAAGCACAAACATTAAAACCCAGTTTTATTTTTTTTTTCCAGATGTGACCAGTTGGAGGGAGGGCGGCAGCAGAAGCATAACTTCTGCCACATCTCTGACCGCCTCCCTGACTGAGCTGGGCCCTAAAACCCCCAGTGTGGGGGACGGAGCCCCCTCCTCGGCGAACCCCAGCGACCCGAAGGAGCCTTCCCTTCGCCCAACTCAGCCTGTACGCAAAGGGGCTTCGCAGTTCATGACAAACCTGTACCAGCCTCCAACCTACCACGACATGCTGCCAGCTTTTGTGAGTGCTCTGGGGACAGACGAGCTCCTACCTGGTGGGAATTTTCCTCCAGTGGCCTTAATTCTTTTCTTGCCGGTTCATCAAATGCCTTGAAAGGACAGGATAAAATTATTTATTTATTTAAAAAATTTTTATACCATCCCATCACGGACGTCTCGAGATGGTTTATAACACCATTAATAAAATAGCATAAAAATAGAAATGAGAGCACAGCATCCGATGTGAAGTATAACACCACCAATTAAAACCAATTAGCAATTAAAATATTGGGAGAATAAAAAGGTTTTCGCCTGACGCCGAAAGGAAAGAAGTGTTGGCGCCAGGCGAACCTCTCTGGGGAGCGTGTTCCACAGTCGGGGCGCCACCACAGAGAAGGCCCTCGTCCGGGTACTCACCCTCCTAATCTCCTTCAAGGAGGGCTCCCGGAGGAGGGCCTTTGACTAAGGGGCGGGAGGGCACATAGGGAAGAAGGCGCTCCTTCAGGTATCCCGGACCCAAGCTGTTTAGGGCTTTATAGGTCTTCACCAGCAGCTTAAATTGGGCCTGGACTTCAATTGGTAGCCAGTGAAAGCAATAGTGGACTGGCGTTACATGTGAATACCTGCCGGTCCCCGTTAGTATCCTGGCAGCTTTATTCTGGACCAACTGAAGTATCCGGACCATCTTCAAGGGCAGCCCCACATAGAGAGCGTAGCAATAATCCAGTCGGGAAGTTACCATAGGATGGGTCGCTGTTGGAAGGCATCGCTCATCCAGGTAAGGGCGCAGTTGGTAGACGAGCTGAAGCTGGAGAAAGGCACTCTTCGCCACCGCTGCCGCCTGGGATTCCAGGGACAGCTCCGGATCGAGGCGCACTCCCAAACTGTGCGCCCTGCCCTTTCACTTGGTTATTGAATTGTTCCAGCTGCGAAGGCTTTTGTAGATGAAAATGGGTGTTACATGGCAGAGAAGGCATGGGATCGAGTGAACTGCACCTCCGTTAGGTCCTTTCAGCTCTTTCAGTGAGTCAGAATTTTAATGCAGCCTTCCCTCAACTTGGTGCCAACTTTGGACTGCAACACCCAGCATTCTTTACTGTTGACCATGCAGGCTGGGGCTTATGGGAGTTGAAGGCAAGCTGAAAGTAGCCAGAGAGAGAAGGCTGTGTGTTGTGCGAGACCGGGAGTGATTTCTCTGCAACTGCTATTGTGGGTGAGCTCCGGCTCGGTGGTGAGCTGCTTGCTGTCCCTGAAGAAGCTCCAGAGCTCAGCCTACGACATCTCCAGGCAGTGTGGACCCCAGACCTCTGGGTAGTACAGGCGCTAAACAACCCAGCACTTAACCCTGCTGGTGGTGGTGGTGGTGGTGGTGGTGGTGGTTGTATGCGAACGGCCCCAACATTTTCTTCTGCCTTTTCCCCCCTCCGAACTTTAAATATTGTATCCTTAAAATTGCAAGGGGGTCCTAGATCAAATCAAGCCAGAACTTTCCCTGGAAAGAGAATTGAGAAACCTGAAGATGTCGCACTTCATGAGAAGGCAAGATTCCCTGGAGGAGAGAGTCACGGGAGGGAAAGTGGAAGGCAAAGGAGCAAGGGAAGGCCAAATAGGAGACGGATCATTTGGCACAGCCTTGAATGTACAAGAGCTGAGTGGGGTTGTCAAGGGTAGTGTGTTTTGGAGGATTTTCATTCATAGGGACACCATAAGTGAGGAAACAGTTGACAACGACAGCAAATTCTTCTCGGAGAAAGGGAAGGGGACATGCTGAACTGCTTGCCTCTTTTTCCAGATGTGTTCAAACCAGCCGTCTGAGACCCCTGGAGCAAAGGATCGTGGGGCAGTTCCTCTCCCGCAGTTCCGCTTAGAGCCCCGTGTTCCTTTCAGACAGCATCAGGCCAACATCCAAGACGGGTAAGGCTGTTGTGGCCAAGCAGGATCCATGCAGGAACCTTTACGACATTCGGGGGTCTCAGACTCAACTGACCTGGGGGCCGCTGGAAGTAGAGTCTGGGTGAGGCTGGGCCGCATCAAGTATTCCACCGCAGTGGTGGTGGGCCGCTCATCCCGCGTCGCTCCCAGAGGCCGGCCCGGGCGCCGCCGGCGCTTGGAAGGCTGCAGGGCCCCTCGCCCATCCCGGCAATTGGCCCGCGGGCCGCGAGTTCGAGACCCCTGCTTCACGTGTATGGCTGTGTCACCTGCCGTGCCGGAATCCTGCTGTCTGGACGTCTTAGGCCCATGGGAACTTGACTTCCTGACAGAGTGTTGTGGGTGCGCTCACAAAATGGCTGCCAGGCTGTTCCTGTGGCGAGCATGGCTGGTCAAGAAGCACTCGAAGCGGCGAGGCTAAAAACCAAACGCCTTGTTCATAAGCCTGAAGTGCAAGGTAGAGCTGGAGTCTCCGCTCCAAAGCACAGAAGCGTCCTTTCAAAACCCAAATAAAGATGAAGCTGGAGGGTGACTGTGAAATCAGATAAAAACCTTCAGGGGGGCAGGGTTTGGCCAGAGCTGCAAGAGACCTTGGGAACCCCGGGGGCAGGGGGAGGCTACAATAACAAAAGGCCACCCCTTTTTCTCTGGTTAAGAGCAACTGTGGGGCGATGAGGATTGGAACCAGGTTTTGAGTGTGGTCTCCCCACCCATACCAATTCCCTGACTTTAAATCGTTCCTCAGAAGCTGCCTTTCGATCTACATCCCAACTTTCCACTCCCAAAATGGTGTTTGACATGCTAACACTAAAACCAGGATTAAAATGAAAATGTGGTTAAAGCCTTCATAAAGTCAAGCGAGTTGCAATCCCAATTTAAACAGCCTGACATTAAATGAAAGAAAAACAACCCCAGCTCACTATTTTAGCCTCCAGAGTATTGGGGAAGAAAGACAGAGGCTAATAGTTCAGGGAAATGAGGTGCTACTGATGTCAGACCAATTCAGCCCCTCCAGCACCTGATCCCAGCCTGTTCCCCTGATGCTGCATGGGACCAGTCCTCATGAGAACAAGAAACCAGTCAAGTGAAGAGCTGGTGGGACTGGAAGGGCCTTCCCTGGCCTTGTATTTAAGCACTAGCCAGCGGGGGGGGGGGGGGCACAGGCTGCAGAGAATGCCCTGCTTGCTGCCCTTCCCGCGTGCCCCGCGCAGAAGCCAAGCAGGCGCCCAGAAGAGGGAAGAGACGTGCCCTGTGTTGCCGGGCGGAGGATGGCCGGAGTAGCCCTTCTTCCCTTTGGTGGAGGACCTTGAGCGAGGGTAACATGCTGCACCCCTTCCCTTCGTGAGTCTGCCTCGGCCATCAGCTCCACTTAGAATCATGGAATAGTAGAGTTGGAAGGGGTCATGAAGGCCATCTAGTCCACCCCCTGGCTCGCATGGCAGGCTGGGAGCCCGAGAGCAAGGAGGACGCTGTACCTGTGGCTCTTCCAGTGCCTGTTTCTGGGCCAGAGCAGCTGGACAGGCAGATTGCAGTGGCGAAGAGAAGGAGCACCTCTGGGGCGGGGGGCTTGTTTGTGGGCCCCTGCTGGCCCGTCCGCCCTGGATGGGGCTTCCCTGAGGATAGCAGCTCCCGGCAGCTCCCCAGCTCGGCCACTTTTGTGCGTTTGATTCTAAGGGTGCCTCACACGCCACCGTTGGGTGCTTGGGTCAGCCGGAAGCGTAAAAGGGAGGGAGCCGACTCAGCCGCCCCTGGAGAGACACGTCCCAGCCTGCACGAGAAGAGGCTCCCACTGACCTCCTTCCAACCAGACGTGCCTCTGAGGGGCCCGGGAGGCAGAGCAAGGCCTCTGCCGTGGAGCTCGGGGGGCAGGCGGGATGGGGCTCTTCCGACATTGTGGTCCTACCCCTACCCCGTGTCGTCTTAAATTCCCTGCCTCTGCTCTGCTCCTGCCTGACACTAGAGCGGGGTGGACCCCTTGTGGTCCCCTAGGCATGTCAGTCGACCAGGCTCCTCTGCCTTGGCCAGTGCAGGCCAGAATGCTTGGGAGCCGTACGTGCCCCACCTGCAAAATGGAGAAGCTGCTGTGCCTGCACAAATCGGCCTGTTGGACTGGACTGCATCGCGCTGCCTGCCCTGGCCTTCTGCCCTCTGGGCGTGCCGGACGGCCACGGAAAGACCGCTTCCCTCTCCCGCAAATGCCTCCTTGCTGCGCAAATGCAGTGACATCATTCTGCCGCTCTCTGCAGAAAAGAAAACCGCCCTGGGACTTCGCGTCTGGCTCGCCCAGTCCGGCCACAAGGGGAGCGGGTTCCCCGGCCCACCATCATCAATGCAGAGAACCTGAAGGGGCTGGATGAACTCGACAACGATGCCGATGACGGATGGGCAGGTAAAACATCGGGTGGTGGACTTGGGATGGCAATGACCGAGCCGCCTTTTGGCGCTCAGGCACAACTGTCGATCGCGCGGTCCCTCTTCTTTGGCACACTTTGGTTCTATCTTTTGAGGGTACCTTAGTTTGGAGTGAGGTCGGGCAAGCATTTGTGCTTGTCTGCCAAGCCAAAACTGCAAGGTGCTGATAGAAACAGTTTTCGCGTTTCAGTTTGGAAGGCAAGCACTGGGCTCTGCTTGTTTAGTTAGACAGGTACATAGAAACTGAAAACCGTGGGGTGGAAACGCAGGAGAAGAGCAGCACCCATGCAAGCCGCACTCTGTGGGATAGGCTTGGACCATTGCTTTCAATGGGCTGGTTTGGGTTTGGCACTTTTAGCTGCCACAGCAGCCAGTTCTGTGGCAGAGATCAAAACAAAAATTGCCAGAGAACGCACATGACCCATGTGTCTGTGTTCCACCCCACCCCTGTTCCAAGTCGTTATAGCGATTACTTTTAAACCAGTTCCAAACACACAGAGAGCCTTCCCCTGTGCCTTACACCTACCAAAAAGTTGGAGTGTGCAACTAGATGAAAGCAATGTTGCAACTGTTGTTTCTATTATTATTATTTTCATTTCTATACCTCCCCTTAGCCAAAGCTCTCTGGGTGGCTTACAACAATGCATAAAACAAAACAAAATAGCAGTACCAATTCTATAAAAATAATGTTAACATGATTTTAACAGGAACTTGAAATAGTTTAAAATACAGTAAATAAGATCATTCACTTCTCGGGGGCTAAGCCGGCCATGTTCCTGTAGAATTAACAGCAACTTCCTGTTTCTCTTCTCTGTCTCTTTTCTGCTCTTCCTTTGCAGGAATCCACGATGAGGTGGATTACTCCGAGAAGCTGAAATTCAGTGAGGATGAGGAAGAGGAGGAAACCCATAAAGACGGAAGACCAAAATGGTAAGAGTGTGTCAGACACCTCCCAGCTTCTGTTAGTGCAGAGATAACGTGGTCAGATCGTTTTAGTCTCTTGTGCGATAAAGGAACGCCTTTGTGGCAGCTTAAGGACGGATGCATTTTATTATGGTATATCCTTCTGTGAACCGGCGTTCATGTCATCAGGTTCGTGGAATGTCGTCGGGTTGGCTGGCATGTGAGAACGGGGAGTGCGGGAAATGCTAGCAGTGAGGTCAGAGAAGGACTGATTGGTGAGTCAAAGCTTAGAGTGTATAAAAAAAGCTGCAGCGATTTTTTTGTGTCAAAACATCCTGGCATTAGTTAATTTATCAATGCTTGTGATGGGTTCGAAGCTGTTGTCTTGCTTTAGGCCACGGTTGATAGAACTGAACTTGATGGGGACTCGTGAATAGCTTGGCATAGTGGTGAGAGCATTGGACAGGGGCCTTGGAAGATGCAGGTTCTTGTCCCTGCTTGCTGGGTCACTGACTCTCAGCCTAACCCGCCTCATTTTATTCTTGTAAGGATAAAATGAAGAGGAGGAGAGTGTGTTAGCTGACGTGGGCCCTTTGCTGGGAAAAAAGACACACATTAATAAGCAAACAGCTCCGGAGGGAAAAGCCTTCGTGAATGCTGAAATTAACCTTCCTCAAGAAGCTGAATTCTGTCAGCTTCAATGAAGTCACCAGCGTTTGATCCTCCTACAGGTGTTAAACATCTCAGCAGTTAATTACCTCTCTTTGGTGATTTATTTTGTATACATCGGTCTAAGCTTAAATAGTATTTCCACCTGAATTCCTGGCATTTCATTTCCTCCTTGCTCTGCGCCCACATAAAGATAAACCTGCCAATTTGTGGAAGTGCTTCATGCATCTGGTGAAATGGGCTGTATGCTCTCCGTTAGTCTCTAAGGTGCAGAGAGACTCTCCATTGTGTTTGTGAACTCGGCATGAATGCGAGAACCAGTAGGATGGAGCATCAGCTTGCCTTGCAGGAGGCCCCCAACTTCTCCAGTTACCCCAGGGGTGAGGAGCCTCATTCACCTCGGGGGCCGCCTTCCGTTTCAGAGGAGCCCTCGGGGGACCACTTTCTGCTGGCAGGCCGGGCCAAAAGCAAAAGGGGTGGAGCCAACATACCCACATTTAGCCCCAAAGCACTGACTGCCTTAGGAGAGGCACGTGAAACTTTTCAGATGGGGAGAAAACAGCGGAAAGGTCAAGAAAACGCCAGAGAGGATTGGTGGCCAAGGGGAGGGGATGTGGCCATCTGAGGAAAACCCCAGGTTTGGCCCCTGGCCCAAGGAGCCTGACCCTTGAGTTGGAAGCATCAGACAGCAGGTGTTGGGAAAATACTTTCCTGGCCAGAGGCCGTGGAGAGCCCATTAGCAGTCAGAATATCTAAGCCTGAAGTTGATGGACAAGCCGTCCGAGCCCCCAAACAGCAAGCGCTTTTCTATACATACAGCAGGGGGATTGGCAAGTGTTGCTGCGAGTTTTGGCGTGTCCAGGCCGGCAGCGTGGGTCTGTAGGGCAGATGCAAGGCAGCCGATGGCATTGGATGACCTCCCGGGGTTTTGTACGACTCAGTACCCAAAGATGCTCCTATGACCTTTTGAAGCACAGTCGGTACCATTTAACATCCACGGGGCCTTAATCGGCAGGAACAGCTGGGATCCCAGAAGGCAACGGCAGCTATCCCTGAGCTCAGCAGATAGCACAGATGCCAGACATCCCCAGGAAGAAGCCAAGAACTGGGGCGACCCAGCTGGTCTGTCTCGGCCAATCCGTAAAACTCAAGATAACCCAGTGCCCTCGAGGAAGGTGAATGGATGGGCTCCCCTTTCGGACTACCAGGTACGCTGAACTTCTCAAGCCTGCTGGTTTGGCCTCCTGGGGGTTGTGCAGCTGTTGAGGGAAAGCAGAGGGCCGAGGCTCAAAGCAGAAAGGGTTTTCCTGTGTCCCTTGCATGTTTGAATGTGCTCAAGCATAAACCAGAACAGAAACTGCAAAAGAAAAGTAGGATGTTGGAAGAGAAGACCAGGTGTGGCTGCATTTTCCGTCACATGCTGCTTTTCTACCCAGAAGACCAGGTGTGGCTGCATATTCCGTTATATGCTGCTTTTCTACCCGTGGGGATTTTTCGTAATTCATTAAATACTGCATTTTTCTCTCCAAAGTTCTCTGGGTGGTTCACCAAAAGGAAACATAGAATATTTCAAAGAGGAGAACCAAATACAGCCAGATTTTTAAAGTTGGGCATAAAAGCAGGGTAAAGCAGCAGAATAAAGGTGGAAAACTAAGCAGCACATTTATGAAACCATCTGGAAGGCTAAACAGTCTGGGAAAATGAGGGTGCCCTCTTTCATGGGAAAGAGCGCCGTGCTGGTGGGAGGTGGGGAGAATAGTCCACAGCTAGGGAACCATGAGTAGCCTGCCCCCAGATCTTTTAGGGCTTTGAAAGTTAATCCCCACACTGTGAACTGGTCCCAGAACCAGACTGGAAGCCCAAGCATGCCATGGCACCTTTGTGTGAGACGGCATGTGAGCAGTCAGAGTGTCCTATTTTGGACCCACTGAAGTATCCGAACCGTTCCAGAATAATGTGCTATCCAGGCAGATTCCTGCTGCCTGAGGCAGAGGCATCGGTGCTTCAGTTTCTCTGCACAATGCAGAGATTGTGCTGGTAGAGCTTCCTGTCTCTTCATTTGGCTTCTGCCTGTGTCGCTCTCTGGGCCCCATAGAAAACACCTTTGGCATGCCTCCGGCAACAGTCTTCTGAGGATAAAGAGGAGAAGCTGCCCCTCCGGCAGAAGTTTGTCCACTCGGAAATGTCGGAGGCCGTTGAGCGGGCCAGGAAGAGGCGGGAGGAGGAGGAACGGCGGGCCCGGGAGGAGCGCCTGGCAGCTTGTGCTGCCAAGCTGAAGGAGCTGGATCAGAAGTGCAAGCTGGCCCAGAAAGCGGCCGATGGCCACAAGCACGCGGACCCTGAAGAGCCCAGATCCTCCGCCACGGAGAAGAGCGCCCTGCCTGAGAACAGCCAGGTGGTCCGGAGAGGTATGGTGGGGTTGCCTTCTCTGCCTTTCTGGGCCTACATGCAGCCTTCCCAAATCTCGGGCTGGCATCTCACGGCTTCCCCTCCCCACATGGACCAGTTCCCTTTTGCCCACCGCCCTTCGCTGTGCGTTGGAGCAAACTCTCGTCCCTGCCGTGCCTCTCATCCAGGGAGCCCCAGTTCAGCCACTGCAAAGCCAAATCCAACTTCCCATGGTTCCAGGGGTGTGAGCAAGCTGTGGGAATCTTATTTATTTCTATACTGCTCCACAGCTAAAGCTCTCTGGGCAGCTAAAAAAAGCGAGCAGATAATATAGCAGACTCTTGAGCCAGGGAATGAGCACCACATGAGGCCACGAGGCGAAAGCACCTGCAGGTTCCTTAGGAAGACCTGCGGAATCTCCAGGTGCGCTTTTCACACCGCCTTCTCTGTGCCCATTCTGTCTCTTGCCCTTCCCCGGCTTACTCATGTTTTCACACTCACATCTCCATTCATACACTATTCTGTGACCTTACTTAGTTCACACTGTCAGGGGCTCCTTCCACCCACCCGCTTCACAGCCTTGGTCCTCGGCTGGGTGTCCTAATAGCTGTTTGTTAAAATCCCAAGTGCTCGCAAACATTCTCTGAGACCTCCAAAGCCAAGCCAGTTCAGTTCAGAAACCAGAAATCATGCCGGTTTTGAACCATGCAACCTGCTTTCTTAGTTTGCAGGCTGCAGATGTGTAAGCTGCCTTTGTGTTTATTTCCCATGGAAGCGTGTCTCTTGCACGCACATGGGTTCTCTCCGCTGAACTGGGTGTCTCGCCACATCCCGCCATCTCCCTTGGATAGCCTACTTAAAACAACTCAAAAATATTAACCAATGTAAAAGCTTTTCTCAAAACAGAGGATTTCCCCTGCTTTTCCTTGCAGGCAGGGGAACCTTCCCTTTTTCTAACAGATGTTGTCTGTAACGCCTCTAAAAAGGGTGTGATACAGGCTGCCTCAGTCACAGCGAAAAAACAAGTTGGGCTTCAATTAAGTTCCATGCAGGCTGGATCCAGCCCAGGATTGGGGGATTCCTGTGAGGAGCCGCAGACTGGGCAGCCCAGGGTTTAAGGATGTGTCTTTCCTTCCCCACCTCTTCAGCGAACCCTGAATTTCATGCCCCAGAGGCCGCGTTGGGTTACGTCCCAGAAGAGATCCCAGCTGTGTCGGCCGCCCATCGGAACAGCAGCGAGGAGGAGCTCCGAGGGATCACGTCTCCGCTGCAGGAATTCAAGTACCCAAAACTACTTCCTCCACGGTTCCAGCGGCAGCAGCAGCAGGTAACAGAACAGATCCGGGTTGTTTCTGTGCGGGAGAGCATCCTATTGGATCCCCCCCCATCATTGATCCAGGGCTGTTGAACCTCTTGCTGAATTCCATTTCAGAGACACTCTTGGGGGCTGCCTTCCAGTGGTGGGTGGGTCCAGTGGCAAGGGGGTGGGGCTTAAACCAAGTTAAATAACGGCTTAGTTTCACTTTCAGTTCTGATTGCAGGTAAGTTGTTTCAGGAGAGGCATTTCATCCTTCTAGAAAGGTGCGGGGAACGAGGCAGAAGCCAGGAAAGCGCTAAACTTTTGGCCAAGAGAAACCGTGTGGTCCTCTGAGACCACCATGGGTTTGGATGTGGGTCCCATAGGAGGGCCGGGCTCGTCTCCCCAGCCTGCAGGGATGAGGAAGGCTGTGCCCTTCAGGGGCCAAAGTGTCCCGGGGGTATCCTGACGTCCTCTGCGTGAATCCTTTCCAGCCATGGTGCGTTGCGGGGTTTGTCCCGCTCCGGTCTGCTCTGGAATCGCAGGGAGGCCCGCTCAGTTGTCTGTCTCCCTTTCCTTCTGCCGCAGGACCAGCTGTATAAGATGCCAAGCTGGCAGTCCCCGCAGGTCTACCCGCCCCCCTCCCATCCTCAGCGGACCTTTTACCCCCCACACCCGCAAATGCTGGGCTTCGATCCGCGTTGGATGATGATGCCTTCCTACATGGACCCCCGCATGGCCCAGGGGCGCCCCACCGTGGACTTCTATCCTTCAGTTCTTCATCCATCAGGTAATGCAGAGCCACCTTTCCCCGAGGGCAGAATTCCGTTTCAGAGAGCCTCTCGGGGCCCCCCTTGCGGCAGCGGAAGGTGCACGGTGCTTACCGTGTGCTCCATTTTGCACTGCAAAAACGATCATGACTCACAGGCATCTTCTTTTCTCCTGGGAGGGGCGCCGGGGCTTCTTCTCCATCCCTCTTGAGCCTAGATGGCCCAGGAACACCTGGCTTACCTTTTCTCTCTTCCTGTCCCAAACAGGGATGATGAAACCTGTAATCCAGCAGGAATCCATGAACGGGAGCAGCTGTCCAGCAGAGGAGCAGAGGTTCCAGCCCTCAGTGCAGCCGGAGAGGAAAGCCGTTCCACTGGAGCCCGCCCCGGTATGGGGCCAGGAGAGCTACGCCCCCCTGCCAAGCAAAGGGGGCTCAGTTTCGCGCTCCAAACAGGCCGAGGGCTTGGCCATGGAGGGGCTGCACGCCAGGTGAGAACATGCTTGTCTGGGGTTTCTCCGTGCCACTTGCTTATTCTCCTTGCTCGCTTGCTTCCTTCCTGTGGTTTTATCTCACTCCTCAGAGTAAAAAGAACTGTTCTGGCTCAGAATAGAGCTACCAGGTTGTTAACAGTTGCCCTGTTGTTGGCGGGTGTGAACACACAAGGCTGGTCCTTTTCCTCCTACACTGGCTAGTAGTTGAAGTCTGGGCCCAATTTAAGGTGCTGCTGATGATTTATAAAGCCCTGAACGACTTAGGGGTTGGTTACCTGAAGGAGCATCTCCTTCCATACATACCTGCCCACCCCTTAAGATCCGGGCAGAGGCTCTTCTCCGGGTGCCCTCCCTGAAGGAGATTAGGAGGGTGGCTACCCGGAGAAGGGCCTTCTCTGCGGTGGCGCCCCAATTGTGAAAATCGCTCCCCAGAGAGGCTTGCCTGGCGCCGTCACTTTATTCTTCTTGGCGCCAGGCCAAAAAGCTTATTGTTTTCCTAATGTTTTAAGCCCTGACTGTTTTAAGTGGGGTTTTATTGTCGGTTGGAATTTTTTAGGACGCTGGGTTTTTTTTTTTATGTTGTTGTATTATTAAACCATCCTGAGACCTTGGTAAGGGATAAGTTTTTGAATGAATGAATGATCCCTGGAGAAGCTCGTGTCGTTTGACTCGTACCTGCACCATTATCCCAGAATAATGGCACTCAAGACCATTAGTAAATGTGAAAACCATGCAACCTCTTCCTCTGCAAAAAGAGTCAACACAAAAGGAAAAAGGAATGGGGAGAGCAGAGGAAACTATTGTTGTTGTTGTATTGCTGCATCACCCAGTATCCGAAGCCCCCCGGGGAGATACGGCACATTGATTGCTGCATATTAATGAGGAAGTACTTGTGTAGGAGTGGGGAGAAAGGTGGCTGACAGGGTGGCCTGCTTTGAATGTTTCCAGGGAGAGTTGAGGGTGTGTGTCCCGGCGGTCGTGGATTAAAACAAGAGCAGCCCAGCCGGCCTCACATCCCCCGAGGCAGCGTTGCCCCTGCTCGGCTGACTCTCTTTTTGGGGGTCCTTTGCAGGAACGGCAGCTCTTACTCGGTGCAGCCCAGCATCCACACCCAGCACCATCTCTTCGACGAGCCCGGAGAAAACTACCTGAACGCCTTTGACAAAAAGCCCCAGGCCGGCTTTGACGGCTGCATCGCCGCCTCCCCCAGGGAGAGTCACGACCGCCTCTTCCCGCAGCAGGAGGGTGCCCCTGACGCTGCCGACACACGGCACGTGAGCTTGAGCCACTCTCCCGTGGAGCCCGGCTTGGTCCACGCCGAAAAGAAGGCAGAGTACAACAGCTGGGAGGTCGGCCCGTTTCAGAAGCCTGCCGAGGCAGCTGCTCCTGCGGAGGAGGAAGCCTTCCGGGACGAGCAGCCATTCGGCACCGAGCCGTGGAAGAAGGAGGGCCCTGCGGACAAGCAGGAGGCCGGCTGGGCCGTGGAGCAGCAGCAGGCGGGGGGCCAGCCACCTCAGCAGGAGCAGCCGAGCAGGGCCCGTCGATCCGGCCCCATTAAAAAGCCAGTGCTGAAGGCTCTGAAAGTGGAGGAGAAGGAGAAGGAGCGGGAGAAGGAGCCGGAGAAGGTCAAGATGGACGAGGAGCCCTCCCGCCCGGCCAAGGACAGGGCCCCCGCGCAGCAGGGCGAGGGCACCGATGGCGCCGCAGCAGCCTTGCTCCGCGCCGCGCCCTACCACCTGGCGGACGAGAAGTGTCCCTCTCGGGCTGCTGCCCAGGAGCCGGAGAAACCCCACGAGGAGGAGGAGGAGGTGGAGGAGGAGGAAGAGCAGGAGGAGGAGGAGGAGGAGAACAGCGGGAAGGCCTGGGACAGCAAGCCCCTCTCCCGGGAGCCCAGTGACCTGCCCCCGGCCAGAAGAAACAACTGGATCTTCATTGACGAGGAGCAGGCCTTCGGCGGGAGGGGCCGGGGCCGGGGCCGGGGCTTCCGCGAGTTCACCTTCCGTGGCCGGGGCAGCGCCGTGGGTTGCGGTGCCGGCGCCCGAGGGGGCTACAGCAGCAGCAGCGGCAGCGTGGGCAGCGCCCAGAGAAGCAGCCGAGGGCGGGCCCTGCGGGAGTTCAACCAGCTGGAAGAGTTTTCTCGCGGGAAGCCCCGGCGCAGGATCGCCAGCGAGACCCACAGCGAAGGCTCCGAGTACGAGGAGCTACCCAAGCGCCGCCGCCAGCGTGGCTGCGAGAACAGCAGCGAGGGCTCCCTCGTGGAGCGGGAGGAAGGGGACCTCAAGAAGGGGGACTTCCGCGACTCCTGGCGGTCCAACAAGATCTATTCGGACGACCACGGCAGCCTGGATGCCAGGACAAGGGCCCCGCGCGTGTTTGGGCGCTCCCTTCCCCCGAGGCTGAGCAACTCTGGGTACGGGCGGAGGGGCTTTGTCGCCAAGGAGCCCTGGCAGGGCCGCAGCGGGGGGAACGTGTGGCCGGAGCACAGCCAGAGCACCCCACTGGAGACCTTTGGGGTCAGGCGGCAGCCGGACCGGGACTATGGCCAAGATGCTTACAAGAATGCGGATTCCTTTGGCAGAAGGGCCTTCGAGGAAGATCTGGTGGACAAGAGGCCCTACTTCCAGGAGGATTATGGGGGTGACCCCGAAAACACAGAGAACCGGCCGTTCCGCCGCCGTCGGCCGCCCCGCCAAGACAAACCCCCCCGATTCCGGCGCTTGAGACAGGAGCGCGAGCTGGTGGGGCAGTGGAGCCCCGAAGACGGGGGCGGCAACCTCCTGGCTTGCCAGTGGCCTGGGAGAGCGAAGCTGCCTGTGGCGGATCGGAACGGCTCCTCCGCCCGCAGGTCCCCCGAGCTCTCCTACCAGAACTCTTCCGACCACGCCAACGAGGAGTGGGAGACGGCGTCGGAGAGCAGCGACTTCAGCGAGAGGCGGGATCGGCGCGGAGGCGCCCCGGAGAGCGAGGCCCAGCTGGAGGGTGGCCTGGTTGGCAGCGGTGTGGGCGAAAAGCGGGAACTGGCCAAGCGGAGCTTTTCAAGCCAGCGGCCTGTCGTGGACCGGCAGAGCCGCAAGGCCGACCCTGCAGGGTTCGGGGAGAAAGCTGTGAGAGCCGGAGCGAGCGGTGCTGCTTCTCGCTATGACAGTCAGCCCAGCGGGCCGCAGGGGAAAAGTGAAAGGTAACGTTGGCGCTGGCTCTCTCCCACCCTCCTCCTCCTCCTCCTCCCCCCCCCATTATGCTCTGGAGTGAGGCACTTCACAACTCCACAACGGGAGGCGGAAATACCCGCCGATTCCCTCTATTTTCTTTTAAGTATGTCTTTGCCTCCTAAAGCTAAAGGATTGCTCTCAGTGCAACTGAGACTCTCTTTGCTGGCCTGTGGAAGGTCGTCAGAGTTGAGGCTTCCGTGGCATAGAATTCCAGAGTCTGGGAGCGACTGCCAAGTGGCTTTCTGTCGCATTTCCACCGAACATGCTTCCGGTGGAGAGAGAGAATCTTCCCAGAATCTTTCTGATGATGAGTTTACAGGACTCCAACTTAACGTCTGTATCTACAGCTACTAAACCGCCCAACGCTTAACCCTCTGGTAGCTCTGATAAGTGATCTCTTTTCTCACAGACCCATTATGGTTCCTTCCAGAGGCTTTGGACTGCGACTCCCAGTTTTCCTGCACTTCGGCCATCTTAGCCAGGGCTCATGGGAGTCGAAGTTCCCGGCAAGCACCGGGCAGGGGCATGCTCTGAGGTCCTGGCTGTTTCATGTTGCTTTGGCACTTTTAATAGAAATGGTGCTCAACCGTTTTATATTCTGTGCAGCTTATTCATTTGGCTGCAAGTCGCCTTGGGCCTTTTTGAAGCAAGAGGTGACTGAGAAATCCCCATCTGCCATAGTTGGCCTCGTGCTAATCCCATATATCTCCATTCCAGCATTTCTGTCTGAATTGGCTGCCTTTCACAGGGGCTTTGTCCAGTTCAAGGCCAGTGTAAAGTTTTGTAGCCGAGTGTGTAGACTGTAATACTTCCATATATTTTCTCCTGCTTTCCCCCCTTCCAGGTTGGGTTTTGCAGCAAGCTGCAAAGAAAGACTCGCTTCCATGAACTAGCTCAATTGTGGATGGGTTGTGGATGGGTGTTTGTCCCAGCATGTGACTTCTGGGGTGCACTCAGCAATTGGCTGCACCCCCCGCCCACTCTGGGGGCCTCATTTGGCGCAGCCCTCTGCTCTTTGTTTTTCTAACCGGGCTCTGCTGGGTGAACCATGGAGTTCGTGCAAGAAACAGTCCGGTACAAAGCTCAGATTCCATGCTGAGCCCATGGTGCAATACGGACTTGATACCTCCTGAGTTGTCATTTGGCCTGCTTGCCACACGGATGGGACGCCGGCACCCATCGAGAGCAATTGCCAGGGCCCGGAGAAAGCCAGCATTTGCTGCAGCAGGCTCTGACAGAAGCTCGGCTGGGGCTTCTGGAACGGGGCAGCCCCCTTGGAAACGGCCACCCGTGCAGAGGTTGTGTCGACCGATTTGCCTTCAGCCGCTTTTCTTCTGCTCGTTTCCCCAGATCTCCAGAAGAGAGTGGGGCGCTTGACGCAAGCAGCCAGTCGCTGTATGGCTCCCACGCCAACCTGAGCAGCGCCGACGGGCTGGGAAGGAAAGTGGAGAAGGAGCCCAAATCTGCAGCCCAACAAGCCGGCGAGAAAGGAGAAGCCATCTCTCAGTTCGAGCTGAGCTATGGAAGTAAGTGGGCACCAAGCCTCCCAGAGGGACTTGGGCTTCGGAGGAGCAATGCCAGGGAGCAGATGCCACCCGACTCCAGCACCAGAGTGCCACCAGGCAGGTGCCCGTCAGCCGGTTGGTTCAGTGGCAGCTTCTGTCCCTTAAGCCACGGATGATTAGAGGAAGAGGAAGACTTAGGCTTGCTTGGAAACCTGGGGTAGATGTGGATATGGGATGGGCATCTGGGAAGCTGCTAGAAACAACTTCGAAGAATTACTAGAGTTGGAAGGGGCCCCACTCAGTGCAGGGCACCAGTTAAACCACCCGTCTCAGATGGCAGTCCGGGTGCATCCGGGAGGCCTCCGGTGGGGAGCACCTGCCACCTCCCAGGGCAATCGCTTCCATTGTCCCACTGCTATGTCAGGAATGTTTTCCTGATCTCTAGTCCGGATCTGGCTTCCCGTAACTTGAGCCCATGCTCCTGCGTCTTGCACCCTGGGATGGTTAAGAGGAGAGCCCACCCTTCCTCTTTGTGGCAGACTTTCAAGGACTTGTAGCGTGCTATCCCATCTCCCCCCAGGCTTCTCGGGCTAAACATGCCCGACTCTCAGTCTCTCCTCACGGGGCTTTGTCTCCAGCCCCAGATCGTCCTTGTTGCCCTCCTCTGACCCCTTTCTGGCTTGTCTGCACCCCTGATTTAGAGTCTTGGAAACTGCTCTTGCACCTTTCCCATAGTTTCCTGCTCAGTGTGTGAGGGGGAGTTGGGGGCGGGGTCCATATTAGCTTGTTGGGTTTTTAAAAGCATTTTAAAAAAAGGAGGACGCTCCGGCTTGATCCTTCTTAAGAAAAATGTATTGATTTTCTTTTATTTTCCTCCCAAGTGCTTGCTTTGAGGGATGCGCATAAGGTGGCAACATGAGGGAGGGCCTTCTCTGTGGTGCCCCCCCCCCAACTTATGGCACTTCCTTCCCACCGTGGCCAAACTGGCGCCAAATTTGCCATCTTTTCAGTGCCGCATTAAGACAGACCTCAATGCTGAGACTTAACGGTGTATCTGGATCCCCATGGGCTTGAGAAGATTGTCCATTCTGGGTGTTTTACCGAGTCTCTTTGTTACTGTTTGGTTTTAGCTGTTTGAAACTGTTCATGCCTTTCTGATTTGATATATTTTCCTTGCCTTTTATTACCTGTCTTACGGACTGTTGTAGACTTCGCAGAGAGCTTCTGCCACGGGGTGGTATAGAAATGAAATAGGAGCAGTGATGGCTGCACTCCTTTGATAGAGCGATGCCAGTCGTGTTTTTCCTTGCCGTCTCATTGAATGGGATCCCCGTCTCGGAAGGAAGCTGACGTGCTCTTTCGCTCTTCCCCAGATGGAGTCGTGGACAGTCGGCTGGCAGGCCCTGTGGAGGAGAGCGAGGTCGGGCCCATGGGCAGCGAAGGCTTCATTGAGGTCCTGACCAAGAAGCAGCGCCGGCTGCTGGAGGAGGAACGGAGGAAGAAGGAGCAAGCTGCCCAGGTGAAGAACACGCTCGGGGATGCCCTCTTAGTCTCCAGGCCTGTTCTAAAGTATGAGCAAGGCTGAATTCTCTCAGCTGGGAACCGCATGCCAAGCAGTGGAGGCGGCCGAACCAAAAGGAAGCCGGTCGTCGTCTTCACCTGGCTCAGACAGTATTTCTCTTAGGTGGTGCCGATGGGAGTAGGAATCGCGGACCGTCAGGCGCAGTTCCTCTCAGAGAAAAGCAATTGTCTAGGTTGTGACATGTAAAAATCTTAAGCATATAAAGATGTTTTGGATGGAAAAGAAAGCTTTAAATGGGGAGCTGGAAGGAGAGGAGAGGTGGGCTGGTTGAAGGGAATTGGGGCTGTGGTTTCAGAGAGGTTTCTTGGGGGGCCACTTTGAGAGTGGAAGAACATGATAGGGCAGTGATGGCGAACCTTTTAGAGACCGAGTGCCCAAACTGCAACCCAAAACTCACCTATTTATTGCAAAGTGCCAGCACTGCAATAAAACCTGAATATTGAGGAAAAACAACTTGCAGCCAGTCCAGACAAATCCTTGGCAGTACACTGACTGGCCATGCGAAAGCTCAGATGAGTCGCGGCTCATGAGTTGCGGCTCATGATGTCATCACCTGGCGCCGCTGCTACTATGTGCGCTGTTCCAGTGCTCGGCTGCTGGGGCGATTCTGGGGCGACTTGGCTCGCGTGCCGACAGAGAGGGCTCTGCGTGCGTTGCCCGCTGTGGCCCACGTGCCAGAGGTTCACCACCACTGTTGCACAGTGTGTGCCTGGTTTTTCCTGCATGGTTTATCTGACTCTTATGGTGATGTTCCCTGAGAGATGCTATGTGCATTTCTTACAATAAAAAGAGCTAATGTGGAAGGGCAGAAGCCCTGTTTCTTTTTACCTTCTCTAATTCTTTGGCCTTGGGAGAGGAGTCCACCATTTCAGATAAATTAAGTTGAATTAACTTTCTTGGTGCTAGAAGCTGAGTTGATCCGCAGGTTGAGAGCTCTCTGTATTCCGCGGATGAGCATCCCCGCGCGCTCTTTCTCCCCGTGTCCCTCAAGCAGGCTTCTGAAGGAGGACAGGTCGCGCTGCGGACTTTTGGAATTAGGCTGGGCGTTGCGCAAAATTAGGTGGAGGACTGCAGGTTGCTGCGTCTGGTTTAGTCTATGTCCGAATTTGGTGAAGAAGACCCCCCCCCCCGGGAATTGCATTCCTGCCCGTCTGGACGACACTCAGCTCAGGATCAATTCCTTGATCGTGCTGGCAGGGGCTGATGGGAGCTGTAGTCCAAAGATCTGGAGGGAACTAGGTTGCCAGTTCCTGGGGCAGTCAGTCCAGACTAGCAGTCGCAGTACCTGGACCGTGCCAGGTTCCACTCCCCAGAGTAAAACATGAAGGAGGCTCCCCGATTCATCTGGGCCAGGTCGGATTTCCCCCGGAGCCAGCCTGATGCGGTTCTTGTTCTTCCTTGCGCAGGCTCCAGCCAAGGGCCGCGTCCTCCAGTCTCGCATCCCGCCTCGCTTCGCCAAGAAACAGAACAGCCCGTGCCTCGAGCCAGGGGACCTTTCGGTGACCGGGAGCAGCCTGGGCACAGAGATCTGGGAGTCCAACAGCCCAGGTGAGCCAGACTTCGGACCAGCGCCAACACCGGGCTTCACAGGGCAGCCGTGCAGGCCCCAGCACTTGGCCATGCGGATCCTCTTTCCCCCAAGCAGCACTTGAAAGCTGAATCTCCCTGAATTCTTCCACAGTGTCCTGGAGCAAGGCTACGCTAGAAGGTGCTGTGGAGAGTTAAGGTAGCGGTTAGTTGGCACCTGGTCTCCAGCCCCAGAAGCTGAGCAGGGATGGTCCTGTATAAGATGTGGAAGGGTTCTTCTGAGAGCACCAACACCTCTACCTTTCTCTTTTCTCGGTCCTTCTCTTATGGCAAGCCTTAGCTTGTAAATCGCCTCCCTATTTTTCCTGTGCCTCCCAGTCTGGCTGAGCTTCATGCACCTTGCATGCAAACAGTCCCAGGTACAGCTGGGGAAGATCCTTCTAAAACCTGCATCTGAGCAGACTAGGCAATACAGAGGTGTGAGGCCCGTAGGCCTAGCCTTGGATCAGGCAGTTCCCCAAATGTCACCTGTTCGGGGCGTAGATTTTCAGCATCCCTCAGCCTGCACCTGCCTTTTGTTCCTTGTTGTAAAAAGCCATGATGGCTTAGCCGTTAAGGATCGTGTAAAGTTGTCTGAGTCAATCAGGCGATAGCTTAGAAGAAAACCTCAGTGCGTTTGCCACAGTTTTCGTGCCCTGTCTAGCTTTTCCTCACATTCATACCTGATGCAAATGGGAGGCAGATCTGGTTGAGTCCACACAGTTTATATTAGCGTTACGACGATCCTCTTGGATTGAACTCTCTCCTGCTTGTCAGGCGTCTTGTGTTCAGCCCCAGCGCAGGAAGCAAGCTGAGCCCAGGCAATACGCTCACACACTTGTGGGATTCCAGCTAGACAACAGACGCCACAAGTCACATGCTGAGAAGAGGGAAGCTGTTCACGCAGGCGTGCTGGCGGGGCGGAGGGGGGCACTTGCGAGGGTGCTCAGTGCCACACTGGACTTGCGGCTGCAAGAAGGCAGGCCAGAGACTGGGGAGCTGGGTTGAGGGAATCCATCAGATCCTCACCCCCAAAGAGGATTCCTCGCCCATCCCTCGTTTGTATGCATCACTCGATTTCAGGCCCGGCCCAGCTTGTCATCCTGCCCGAGGCAGGAAATTACTCCTGCCCACACCTCCTCCTCGCCCCGCTTGCAAGGCTGTGGCCAGCCTCTTGGCGAGACTTCGGGCAACCCCTGGCATTGGGTGGCCAGTGGGGGGACAGTGACCGGTTGGTCCAGGAAGCCCCGTGGGCCGCCCTCTCTCTGTGGCGTGTTGCTGGAGAAGCAGCCCGGTTTCTGTGGCCGCTGGGAAGCGTCTGAACAGCATCTTTCCATTCTTGCTGCAGCGCTCTCTGTCCAGTCGCCGGGCACCGATTCCTGGAGCAAACCCGTCAATGCCTTCACCAGCAACGAATCCGGTTCTACTGAAGTAAGTGGGTGCATCGTGCGGGGCGAACGCTGCTCTCCGAGCCGCGGGGATGGCCTTCCTTTGATCTGTCCTGAACCTTGTCCCATCTCCTTCACGGGATGACCCTTCTGGCATCCAGAATTGTACAAGAGGGAGAAAGGCCCCCCCACCCCCCTTTTTTTCACACCATGCTGCATTTTGTACCTGGCTGTGCTGCTCCCACATGGCATGCATTTCCCCCAAGCGAAACCAACCCAAACGCCGTCACCTTTCCTTGTAAGAGAGGTCCTCCAGCCCCCAGACCCTCTTAGTTGCCCTTCTCTCCAACTCTGCACTGTCTCACTTCAAGGGCACTGCCTAGAACAGGGGTCCTCAAACTTTTTAAACAGGGGGCCAGTTCACTGTCCCTCAGACTGTTGTGGGGGCGGACTATAGTTTGAAAAAAAAAATGAATGAATTCCTATGCACATATCTTATTTGTAGTGCAAAAAACAGGAAAACAATACAGTATTTAAAATGAAGAACAATTTTGATCAACATAAGCTTAGTAGTATTTCAATGGGAAGTATGGGCCTGCTTTTGGCTAATTAGACAGTCAATGTCCAGTTTCCTATTTGCTCCTCTCTTCTGTATTCAGAGCCAACGCGTGCATGCAGTAGGAGGAAGAGTTGGCACATGTGCAGTTCAGCACAGCAGCAGGAGCTAGCCAGAGCTAGCAGAGAGAGCCGGCGCATGCGCAGTTGAAGGGAGCTGTTATAGTTTGGCGCATGCGCCGGCTCTCTGCTAGTCTCTGAAACTGAAAGAGTTTCAGAGAGCACCTGCGCAGGCTCAGAGCTTTCAGACTTGTTCGGAGATCGTTTTCTCCAAACGAGTCCAAAAGCTCTAAGGTGGGCTGGGTAAATGACTTTGGCGGGCCGTATCTGGCCCATGGGCCGTAGTGTGAGGACCCCTGGCTAGTCCACATGAGGTCAAGCAATAAATGCCATCAGGGCAGCACCGGTTCCCTGGCGGCTGCGTATGGGGGCCGACTTCCAGGGGTTTGCCTCTTCTCCGTACATTTCCTCCAGCCTGCTTTGCAGCCACTGCTGGCGTTGCTGGGGGAAATCTTCGGCATGATCCCGTCGGGACCCTGGCTAAGGGTTGCCACACCTTGCAAGGCAGGACCTCATCGCTGGGCTGGAATCTGTGATGGCAGCCCCACAGTTTGTGGGTTTGTTAATTTAAAACTTTTCTAGACTGCCCCTTGCCGAAGTCTCGGGACGGTTTGACAATACAAAAATGTAAATTAAAAGACCGCGTTCTTAAAATTCCAACCGACAATAAAACCCCAATTAAAACAGTAAGATCTTAAAACATTGGGAAAATAAAAATGGTTTTAGCCTGGCGCCAAAAAGAATAAAGTGATGGGACCGGTGAGCCTCTCTGGGGAGCGAATTCCACAATCGGGGGCACCACAGAGAAGGCCCTTCTCCGGGTAGTCACCTCCCTGGTCTCCTTCAGGGAGGGCACCCAGAGAAGGGCCTCTGCCCCAGATCTTAAGGGCTATGGAAGGAGACGCTCCTTCAGGTAAATTTATTTATTGAACGGATTTCTTTGCCACTACAGTAGCCCGTATCTGGGCGCTCTGCATGGCTCACTGTTCTTTCATAATATGTGGTTCTTCTCTGTGGTCCCCATGCATCACACACACACACACACACACACACACACACACACACAGAGAGAGAGAGAGAGAGAGAGAGAGAGAGAGAGAGAGCTGCACCTGCATGGTCCCATTTTGGGAAGATTCTGGAAGATTCTCACCCCTCCCTGAGCCATCGCTGTGCTCACTTCTCGTGCTTGTGTGGCAGGGGTTCAAAAGCAGCCAGGGAGACAGTGGCATTGACCTGAGCGCGGAATCGAGGGAGTCCTCCGCCACCTCTTCGCAGCGCAGCTCTCCTTATGGCACTCTCAAGCCCGAAGAGATGAGCGGAGGTGGTCTGCTGGACGCCAAGCCTGACTGCCCGAAAGAGCCCGCTGCCAAGCGGCCAGAGAAAAAGGTAACCTGCCCCGCAGTCGCCGCCTCCTCCAGCCCTTCCTTCTCCGCTGCCTGTGAGTGGGAAGGAGGAGCAGAGCGCCAGCACTGAAGGCGTCCTGGGGCTTGGCGGGCACTTGTTTCATTTTATGTTCTGCTTGCCCTGTTAATTTTGTGATTGGTTTGCTGCAGTTCTGTGATTAGCTGCCAGCTGCCCTGGGGGCGTATTTTTGGGGACAAAAGGCGTGGAGATAAATATTGCTTGAACAAACGAGTAATTATTTTATTTATTTATTATTATTTATTAAAACATTTTTATGCTGCCCCATTCGCTGAAGCCTCGGGGCAGCTTACAACAATAATTAATATAAGTATAATCTTAAATTAAAAAATATAAACATTAGCTTAAAAATAAAAAATACAAAATAAAATAAGCCGCCCTGGCCAGATAAAATTATTATCTATTCCTCATTGACTTATTTATCTCTGCTCCAATTTTCCCCACAAATCCCCTTTCTCTGTCATTTTCCCACACTGAAGATGAGACTGTAACCTCCTTGGGGCAGGGACTCATTCCCTTGTACCATGCCAAGCAGCATGCAAGCTGTTCCATAAATAATAAGAGTAAAGCTTAAGTCCTTCAGTTCACTAGGGGGTTGGGGACTGGAATTGGAAGGAGGCTCTCCACCTGACCCGCATACAAATAAGTCTTTTCCGTTGGGTCTTTGCTCTGTGACCTTTTCAAACTGATCATCATCCGCACTGGCAGGCCGGGGGCGGGGGGGATTCGCTTGGCTTGTGTGCGCCACTCTGTTTAGCCTCTTGTCCTAGCCTCTCCGTTTTCCCGTTAAGGATTCAGAGCAAGGATTGAGTCAGAGCAGGGACCACAAGCCTGGGCCGATCGGCAACGAACGCTCCTTGAAGAACCGGAAGGGCTCGGAGGGAGCAGATCGCCTGGAAGGCAGCATCCCCCCGGTCAACGGTGTGGACATTCATGTGGACGCGGTTCTTCCTGTGCCACCCATTGAGTTTGGAGTAAATCCTAAAGTGAGGGTTCCCTTTGCTTCTCATCTTCTCCACTGTTCTGCCGTCTCTTCTGTATCTTTCTCCTGAGCTTGCTGGGTTGGGGGTAAGCTGGCCTAGGCCCAGGCATTTCTGGAAGGAAAGATTTGACCCTGAATTTCTTCATGTTCATGAACCAAATTCTCTCTCTCTCCTTTTTCCCCAAAGATGCATGTGCGCTTGCGCTCACTCGCGCGCACACGCGTTCTCTCTCTCTGTCTCTCTCTCTCTCCCCATATATATATATATATATATATATATATATATATATAATTTTTATAAATAAAAGAGAAGATAACAAGGGACCTTACCCCAAAATTACACATAACACTAAGGGTAAGAAGTTGCACAAAAGGTCAGGAACTGTTACCTCTCCGCATTCCCATTCTGCAACCCCAGAAAAGGGTAGGGCCACAGCGCCAGTGCTGGGAGCAGAGCTGTGCTTGCCCCCCAGCGTTGGGGCCTCAGGAACAGCATTTTGTCCCTCCCGTTGCCAAGGGGAGTGAAGCGCAGGCATTCAGCTCAAGGGAGGAAGGACAGGCAGGCTTTATAGGTGTGGGGCGGCTTTTGCAATCTGGCCTTCTCCAGATGTGCTGGCTTGGAATTGTGGGGGTTCCAGTCCCGCACCTCTGGGGGGCGGCAGCTCAGGAAGGCCGACCCCTTGGTGATCTCAGCCCCCCACCTGCTCCTGTGCCCACTTTGCGGACCCTCACGTGGGACTGGGCATGGTGAGAATCTGAGTACTGCGTCATATAGCGAGATGGCCTGTTTTGCAGGAATCGGACTTCAGCCTGCCCCCGGGCTCAGCCTCGGGTACAGCAGCGAACCCCGTCACAAAATTGCAGGATGGCTTGGCCAGCAATGTAAGTGACTCCCCCCCACACCTCCCCTCCACCCGTTTTTGTAGAATAGAAGAGGTTGAGGGCTGGCTTTTTCTCGTTGGGCTGACTTGTTCTTGCTGGGCTCGGTGGCACCCTTAAGACAGCAATGCTTGAATGTATCCGTCTGTTTCTTTGAAGGCTGGGCTCACCCAGTCCCTCCCTGTCCTCCGAAGAGATCACCACCTCCCACGATGCATCGGCTTGAACCCCATGTCATACCCTACAGCGGATCTCACTCTTAAAGTAAGCATCGCGTTTGACAGGATGGGAGGCTGGGAAGGGCGGCTTGTGCTCTGGTCTCTGTGGCAGCCTAGAGGCAGAAGCAGGATGGGTGCTAGTTGTTTAGGTATATGAGCGGTTATGGGCGTTTCAGAATTCTCTTGCAGGGAGGCTTGGCAAGGGCAGCATGCCAGGCGGGGGACCTCAGCTGTTGTGATGCGGTGGGAGGGTTATTCAGAAAGTCTCTGTGCTGAAGCACTTTGGCAGAGCAAGGGAGTGAGTCAGAAGAAGGTGGAAGCATGTCTCTTTCCTACCAAGCAGTTCAGCAGAATGCCTGCACAGCCGTGGCCCCTTCCCCTGCACTCCTGTAGTCCCCTGAGAGAGGGGTTTGTCCTCTCCTTTCCCATGAGGGATGGGCTCGACCCATAGCAGGGAGAGGAACAAGGCTCATAAGCCTGACTCTTGGCCTACTGGTCTCCCATAGCAAAACTTACTAGCTATAAAGCTTTGCACCCTTAAAGGCGTCTACCCCAGTGACTGAAAATGTTGCAATGGTCAACCACACAAACACAATTTGAATTAATTAAGCCTAATGGGTGCCTTTAAAAAACAAAGTAACCCTGCACTCTGGACCCTTTTGCGCATGGCGTGTGTCAGTACTCCAGCTTTCACAGTCTCGAGCTTCACTGTGACACATGAACAGACAGCATTATAGGGAAGGGGACGGCCTGGACAACTGCCTCGGGTGTGTTCTTCTTCTTGTAGTCCGTCAAAGCGGACTGTTCAGGACAGGAGCTCCTAGGCATCGATCAGCTGGGCTGTTTGCCCCGTGAGACCACCTTCCAGGAAGGGTTTTTGTTCGTTTGTGACGTTTTCTGTCAGAAAAGCCCAAATTCCGGCTGGATTCCGGAATGTGCCAGCCGGCGTGCAGTTAGCCTTCCCGAGCAGTCATTCCTGCCTTCTCTCTTCTCGCAGATGGAGTCGGCGCGCAAAGCTTGGGAAAACTCTCCCAGCCTCCCAGAACAGAGTTCCCCTGGAGGCGCTGGTTCCAGCATCCAGCCTCCTTCCAGTGTTGGGGCTTCCAACGGTGTCAGCTACAGTTCCTTCGGCGGTGTGTCCGTGCCGCCCATGCCTGTGGCTTCCGTCGCACCATCACCTTCAATTCCAGGTGCGGCACTCGCTTCCTTATTGGGTCACCCAGTGGCTTTTGGCAGCAGAACCCAGTTTTAATACATCGGACCATGAAGCGTGTGCACAGCGCTAATTCATTGGGAATGGAAGAAGCTGCTGTTTTCCGTGTGCATTCAGAGTCGGGGAGGTGCAACCTCGTCAGATGAGGAGTAGAAACAGAGCGAGTCAGAAGGGGTCTCCCGGGCCATCTAGCCTGACCCCTGGCTCCAGCCAGCTCCGCTCACGACATGCCCACCATGTGGACATTTAGCCTATCCTTGAACACCCGCACCGATGGGGCCTCAACCACCTCCCGTGGAAGCCCATTCCACACCTTCGGGGTCCTGACTGTCAGGAAGTGCTTCCTGGCACCCAAATTGAACCTTGGCTCCCTGAGCTTGGCTCCAGTAGCAGCAGCCCTGGGAAACAGCAGCTCCAGATAATGAAATGGAAAAGGAGGGAGGGCTTCTCTTAAGACCAGCCTTCTCTAGGGGTTCAGGTGGACCCCGAGAATATCCAGAGTGTGCAGCTGTCAGGTGGGGCATGAAGCAGGTGTCCTGGCAGCCAGACCCTGCTATGTGCCTTGATCCCATGGAGTGGCATCAGGAGAGGACTGGCCAACTAGAGGGGCTGCGTACAGACTCGAAGGGCCCCAAAAGGGGAGCTCCAAAAGAGGGTGCTCGGGAGTAGCTATTACTTTGGGTTCAGTGAACTGCCCTATGCATGATCAGAGACTCTTTCTTTGCTGGAGAATAAAGAGCTTCTGACAAAGAATGGTCTGTCTGAAGGTGTGAAAGGCGAAATCTAGCACCCAAGAGAGTGAAATGTACGTGCTTTATTGTTATTACTGAGAAAGGACGGCACTTCGTCCTGTTACATAGGTTTGTCTGGGAACTATGGTGGAGTGGCGAAAGGGTTGGACTGGGACTCAGGAGATCTGGGTTCTAGTCCCAGGTTGGCCTTGAAGCTTTATGGCCTAGCTTACCTCGCAGGGTTGGTGTGAGAATCCAGTGGAGTGGAGCGGGAATATGCAAGGAAAAAGTGGGATATCAGTGTGATAAATACATTCATTAAAATGCACTAAATCAAAACGCCGGCCCTTCTCTGCTTGCCAGCCTGCCCTCCTGCCTCGCTGGCTTGTGGGAAGATGCCCTCTTTCCTAGGCATTCTGTTCCCAAGCCTTTCTGTGACTCGGATGTGTTAGAAACTGGATGGCGGTTAGAGAACAGCCAAGCGTTCGGATGCCAGATGGCCAGTCTTTTGCCCGGCATCTCAGGGCTGCAAGGAGAACCCTCGGGGCTGCTTTTGCTGTCGGCCTGCTGCGCAAGCTCCCCTCTGGCATCCTGTCCATGGGGATGATGGTCCTTGTGTGCTCCCGTCTCAGTGATGTTCTCAATGGATCCTACTGAACCCGTTGCTGCTTAGTCCAGCGAAGGGCGCTTGAAGAGATTCCAAAACTGAGAGACGTCCTTGTTCCCTGTCCCTGGGCTGGAGCAGCTTCGCCTGCCCGGTGCCCTCCAGCCGTGTCGGTCTACAGAATGGATGAGGCTGGAGATGGGAGGGAGAGAAAAAGCAGGGGAAGGGGTCTGGTGGAGAGAAACCGGGAGGCTGGGGCTGCAGGGAGAGCGAAAGTGCAAAGCGGAGAGGCTTGGATAAAGGGGAGCTGATTGGGTGGGGCCGGGAAGCACCTCTTTCCTCCTCTTTCTGCCCCCCAGACAGCTGATCAACAGCCGGTTCAGGATGCCCTGGTTTTCTTTGAATTAAAAATATATTTTTGAAGTGGGCAGAGAGGAGAGAGCTTCACGGCACTGGGGGAGATGCCCATGAAGTGCTGGGGACCCCAGTGTGAAAAATGCTCACGTGGAACGTCGGTTCCCCACTCCCTGTGGGGCTGTGAACCCACCCCTGCACTTGGCACCTCTGCGGATTCTGGAGCTCGGTGTGGCTTGGGAGCCCTCATACCTTTGAGCGCCGGGGGAAGGGCAGTGGTGAGCAGACACACCTGCCCCATTTCCGGGGTGGATGGCACTCACGCCGTGCCGTGTTTCTTTTCAACTCGCCCGATTCTAGGCAACCACATCCCTCCCCTGTATTTAGACGGCCACGTCTTCGCAAGCCAGCCGCGCCTCGTTCCCCAGACGATACCTCAGCAGCAGAGCTACCAACAGGTAAGGGCTCCGTCCATTTCCGTAGGCCTGTGTGCGGTGAGCCATCAACGGCGTCTGCCACACAGGAATGCCAGCCTCTGCCGGGCGCGTTTTGCGAGGGCCTCAAAAGGTCGGGGCAACGCTGCTGGCGGTTGACAGCCAGAAATGCCATCAGCCTTCTCCTTTAAGACAATCCCAGTCACTCTGAGGTTGTCAGCTCTCAGAGGTGAGCATTGGCTTTTAGCGAAATACGGCCTTGCAAAGAGGTTTGCAGCCATGAATTTTACCACCCCATGGCCAAACTGTTTGCCCATACACAAAGCTGGAAGGAAAGGGGCATGAAGGGGAAGCAGTGTGGAAGCAGGAGTGGCACAAAGATTCCAAGGAGAAAATCCACAGGCCACCTTTCAGACTATTGGTCTTTTGCAGCCATTTAATAAAAGACCCCCTGAAAGGAAGGTGCCTGCCGTATCTCTGCATGAATCATTTCTTGGACCTTGCATCCTTCTTGGGCGAGGAACCTGCTGCTGCTTCATATCAGATGCAGTTCGGTTCTTCATTTACCCAGCTAAAGAAGGATTACCCTGTTCTTGGATAAGGGTTATCATTGCATCTCTGTGTGAGTTACCGTTCTGGGCTTTCATTTTCGGTAACCAGGAGGTATGCACAGGACGGGTGACTCCTGCAGAAACACAGCGGATGGTCTTTACCAAAGACAGGCCAGTTTACCCTAAACACTCAGCTAGGCTTTATTTGCAGCGTGCCTCCAATACCTTATGCCAGAAGCCATGTCCTAAATGAGTCGCAGGAGGAGTGGGAGAACCTGCTTTAAGTCTGTAGGAAGGGTCAGGTAGAGCTGCCACCTTGCTGGCCTTCAGGCTGCCTTCAGCGGAGGCAGACGCTGCGCCGACCGTTCTGCTGTGCTGACCTTGCCCGCTTTATGGTTCCCTCTGCAGGCGGCTGCTGCTCAGCAGATCCCACTGCCCCTGCACACCTCTCTGCAGGCCCCGGCTCAGCTTGGACTGAGGGGAGGCCTCCCCGTCTCGCAGTCCCAGGAGATCTACAGCTCCCTGCAGCCCTTCAGGTACCGGATTGTTTGCAGCCGCTCCCGTGGTGCAAGACAGGCGGAAGGCGCCAGCTCGGGGCCGGGGGGAGGCTGGTGCGATGAGTGCAGCAGCTTTCGGGGCTTCCCACTCCCTTCTGGGGGAACCGTCACACAGCCATGCCACTCTGGCTCGGGCTGGACTCGTTACTTGCTGCCTGGGTGAAAATGAGTCTGACGTGGCATCCCTTCTTGCTTCTGAGACGATTTAGTTTGGGTTTTTCTTTGGAGGGAAGAGGGAAGGAAGACCAGCTCTTCTGACAGACAGCTGAATCCTTCCTTTTCCTTCCCTGGTCTTCTTTCTTGTGTGTTTGTGCCTGTGTCAAATATAAGGCTGCAAGCAGAAGTGTTCCGGTTTTATTATTTCAACAGCCCAGAAATCTCTTTGGGTGGGAAGCGCGATAAAAACGCTCCTCTCAGGTTTTTCCCTGCAGAACAAAGCCATTATTGCAACGCAGCACCCAGGGTCTTAAGCCTTCCTCTTCTCTTCTCTTCCCCTCTTTTTCCCTAGGTCTCAGGTCTACATGCATCCCAGCCTGTCCCAGCCCAACACCGTGGTCCTGACCGGAGGCACTGCCCTGAAGCCTCCATATTCTGCCTTCCCAGGTATGCAGCCTCTGGAGATGGTGAAAGCACAGTCCGGATCCCCCTACCAGCCAGTGAACGGGAGCCAGGCCTTAGTTTACGAAGGCCAGATCAACCAGGCCCCCGGTATCGGAGCCTCGCAGATGATGGACTCGCAGCTGACCCAGGTCAGGAGCCTGCTGTTGTGTGAGACCGATGCGTCTTTGCCGTTGCATCTTTTCCTGTGTTTGTCTTGATGAGGAGCCTTCTTTCGCAGAAGGACCAAGCAGGGAGCCAGACAGTGGAATCAGCAGAAGGGCTTCCTGGGCACATGCTTAAAATGATGCTGTAGCCACAGGATGCTTCTGTTCCTAGCGGACGCTGGAGGGGGCGGTCTGAGGAGGATCGTGTACCTTTTCAGAGCTGGCTGGAAATACAGGGTATTACACAGAATTAGCAGTGGGGCTGATGTGTCATATCCAGCCCACTCTGTTGGTCTTCACTGGTCCCTTTTTGGGTCTGTGGCTTGGAAGTCAGCAGAAGGCAGAGGGTGGTCTTTGGACAGATCTCTGGGTGGTCTTCAGTGGATCATCCAGGGATTCTGCCTCCCTATGTTTGGACAATGGCAGCACAGCCCCTTTTCTGCCATCCTGAAGCCAAGAAAGGGGGTTGGGGTGAGGACCGCCAGACTGGATGTACATACAAACGGATTTTGGCGCTCCGGTTCTGCTGCCGTAAATTAATTCCTGGACTGAGCATGTGCTCAGGAGCATCTTGCTCCTCAGTTCTTTCCTTGCACTTCCTGACCTGCTCTTTTGAACCCAGATCCTCAGGAGTCTAGTGGAAAACACAGCAGATTGTGCAAACCTAAATCATGACTGCCCTTGCTGCGGATTATGGGCTGAGCCCTTGCTTTGTATGCAGAAGGTCCCATCCCCAGGCAGGGCAAGGAAAGGATCCCGCCAGAAACCTTGGAGAACTGTGGCTGCCAGTCAGTGTTGATAAAACTGGGATACATGGACCCAGGGGCTGAATCGGCCTCCTGGGTCCTAAGAGAGCCACACCAAAGGCTACTGTGATCCTGTGACTGAGGCTGTTTGAACTGCACACTCTCGTTTCGTGCCAGCGCTGCTTAACTGTGCTTCACGAGCATCTTCAAATCCGTATTGGAGACGAAGCATGTCGCATCTAGCCACGGTGGCCAGTCACAGTTTTCTTGCGAGCCCTTGGAAAAGCAATCAATTTGCTTCCAGGAGCAGCTTCGAAACAGGATTGGGAATTGGTTCGAAAGGCTGCGTGAGAGCAAGCAGCTAATGTTGTTTGGTGGAAATGTGGCGTGTGGCTTATTTTTATAGCAGGCGGCCTTTTCAGGCTGAGACAGCCTTGCAAACAAAGAGATGCCTCTGAAAGAAGCCAAGAGGCTGAATGTGGGGAGGTTTATGGCTCCTTAATACCTTGCATTGTTACAGAGCACGGTTGTAATAATAAACCTTCAGTCCAGAAAGGAGATTAACTCCTGTGAGTTCCACGTACAGTTTGGCAGGAGCGGCTAGTCCTTTGCTCATCCAAATGCAACGTTTCTGAACTAGGCACACCTCACAAAAGGGTATCAGAAAAAAATAGGGAGCGTTTCAAAGATATTTTGGGAACCTGGACCTGCTGTTAACTCTCTTGAAGTTCACAAATACTATACAGAAGCACAGATGGATTATCAAAATACGGAAATATCGGTGTAAAGGCAAGACTGACCAATTATTTAGCATCCAGAGAGGAAATTTTATTTCCAGTTGTCAGACACAGATCTTATGTAGACGGGCACGCATGAGAGAGAAAGTATATTTTTTATCTTATGGCAGCATTTTATATTAAGAGCGACATTGCAGCTCACTCTTAGCTGTTGTGAACTATCCACAGAAAGCCAAGACCAGCTGGATGGTGCAGACCTGTAATGAAATAAATGCACAGACCAGTGTTAGTACTTGTAAATAAATTATGCTTGTTCAAGGGTAAAAGCGCCGCCCCTGGCCCATTTCTTAGTTTTGCTGTGTGCTGGCTGGCTGAGCCCCGTGTGCGTGAGCCAGGGCCAGAGCAGCAGCATCCCCGTGCAGCCGCCCATCAAGCTGCAGGCCAGAGCCTTTCCAGCCGAGCAAGGCTGCCAGCTGCCACACAGCCCTAAATCGAGCCTTGTGGATTGTTTCCTGGGGTCGAGAGGCTCCTGGACATGCAGGGCCCTTTTCCTCGTTCCATAGCGAACTATGGTCCATTGCGTTGCCGTTGGAACTGACACTTCCCTGACACAGTGCGACTCGAACCCTGGGATATTGGGCTCTGGTCTGTCCATGTGGAGGGACTGTGTACGAGCCAGAGCCGCCTCCCGATGCCCCAAAATAATCAGAAACCAAGCAACGCCCAAATGCTGTTGGACCGCAGCCTCCAACACGCTTGGCCAGCAGTCCGCGGTGATGGGAGGTGTAGTCACTCAGCTTCTCAGGCTGGGTGGGGAAGGATGGCGAAGAAGTGAACGACATCCAGAAGCATTGAGAGAGGGTAAACGTCAAAGCGCAGCTGGACCATTGATAGTGGCAGTGAGGAGGGGCTGTACAATTGCTCCCGGCCCCACAGCCTGTTCTGGTCCATGGGAACTCGCAGTTCTCGCCTCTTGAGTCCCTCTCTGCTCATTCACCTGCAGCTGACGATGCCGATGCCTGGATCTCAGCTTCCAATGCCTCGTTACGGCTCTGGCCAGCAGCCCCTGTTACTGCCGCAGTCCATTCAGCTTCCCCAGGGCCAGAATCTGTCTGTCGGAGCTCCGCGTAGGATCCTCTCACCTGGCTCCCAGCCGTCTGTCCTTGCTACAAGCAGGGAGGTAAGAACCAGCCGTTTGTGCTTCCGTGCTTGTACATCAGTTCAAGTTTTCCAGCAGAGCACTTATTTTTGTGAACGTAACTTCACAACTCATGTCTCCTGAGGCTAGACTACTGCAGTGTGTGTTGCGTGGGACCATCCTTTGATGTCTTTCCAGGAAGCGCCAGGCTACATGTAGTTCCATGCACGTATTATCTTCATGCGTTTCCTATTAAGCAACTGCTCTTTATTATGAAGTCAATTTGTGATTGCTAGCAAGCTTGCTTTTCCCTGGTGGATGCCGCCTCCACCATGCCGTGCATGCGATGTGTCATTATTCATAAGGCCTCCTGTGCAACATAAGGAAAGCGCACGGATAGTGTTGTTGTTGTTGTTGTTGTTGTTGTTGTTGTTGTTGTTATAACATTTCTATGCCGCCCCTTGCCGAAACCTCGGGGCGGCTTACAACATGATAAAATACATTGAAATACAATAGTACATAATAAATTACCATTAAATACAAAAATCCAAAAAATACATTGACTTACAAATATAAAATTAAAATTATCAGTATAAAATAAAAATATAGGAGAAGAAAGAGAAGGAAGAAGAAGTTGCCCTGGCCAGATCATATGTTTTAACAATTGAAATGATGTTTAAATAAAAAGGTCTTTACCTGGCGCCGAAAAACCCGTAACGACGGTGCCAGGCGGACCTCTGAAGTGCCGGTGCAGCGAGGCTTTCCCTCCTTGCAGTGCTGCTCGTTCCAGTCGGGTCCCCGACAGATTATACTCTTAAATGCCGAAAATAGAAAAACCGAGACGATCCAGTTGACCCAAGCAAGCACAGTTGTTCTCCAGCAGTCTGAAATGGAGCCAGAATGTCTCCTCCTCTCTCAAGGAGCGAGCAGGATACATCGAAAATAATAACCGTGCTTCTTCCTCTTCCCTCCTCCTCCTCTAGTCCTCTCACATGGAAATGAAAGGCTTCCACTTTGCTGATGCTAAACAGAACATACCCACAGGAGGGACTATTCCATCAGCTCACACATACAGGTGAAGCACAGTTTTGATGGCGCACACTTCTTCGCGTTGAGGGGTGGGGTGGGAGGCCTGGAGGATTCTAGCTATTAAGAAACGTGTCTCTCTCTCTCTCCGCCCCCGTCCTTCCTCCTTCCTTCCTTCCTTCCTTCCTTCCTTCCTTCCTTCCTTCCTTCCTTCCTTTCTAATGTGTGTGTCGTGTGTGCCCAGCTGTGTAAGACGGTTTCAGAAGAAGTAAAAAAGAGAAACAGCAGCAGCACTCCTTCCTTGTCCTGTTGTATGACTGTGGACAGGGGCTGATAGCACAGCAAGGGACCGGGGAATAAAAAGGTGTTTTTAGTCACCTTCAGAAACCATCCATCTCTCCCCCAGTCTGGGCGTTTGGTCTGGCCCAGCCCTGAACTCTTCCTCGGGGCCTGTCTCGCAGGCCTTTATATAGTGAGCGTTGCCCGGGGGATGTCGCACGACAGATCCGGACTGCAGATGTTGCTTTCGAGCCTCAAGGTTTTCAGTGCAATTCCCGTTGCTTGGTTTGCACTTGGCCGGCCTTTGGAAAGAATTGCATAGATTAAAGTTGCAATGCTACACAGAGTGCCTGAGAGGGGGCGCCATTTAAGCCAGTGGCATTTGCATCCGCATCGATATGCATTGGTTTACATCATAAGAAACTGACTTGAAGGTGCTGGATTTTAACTGGTCCGGCAACCAGACCAACTGGGCTGGTGGAATTTGACATTTCAGCAGAGGAAGGGATGCTGGTGAGCTGTGTTGGCGCTGCAGAAGCGTGGGGAGCTAGATCAAAACAGAGACTTGAGGGGAAAACATCCTTGGCTCTGAGCACATTCCGAATATCCACGAGTCAAATAGAAGCAGCAGAGTCCGCGGGCCCTGCGATCGTGCCTGCACCCTACCGAGTCTGCCTGCTGCACTCACTTTGCTTTCGAGGTGGCGTGTCCGTTGCGCTTTGCTGTTCCGTCTTAAACTTTTGGGTTTCCCCTCTGTCCCCAGGCCGAGTTCTGCCAGTCCCAGTGGAAAACCCTCTGGACCAGCCGTCAACATGAGCTCTGTGCAGGGGCATTACATCCAACAGGTAAAAATTGTCGCTCAGGAATTGAGAGGTGCTTGTGTGTTGAGGTCCTAAAGCAGCTTGGCCGCCAAACTTGAAAGGGGGCATGTCCGTCCGTCCATCTGTCTGTTTTTGCATAGAATGGGAATTGTAAACCATGTTCCTTTCAGGCCGCAGGGAGAGGGTGGCTAGGCAACATGGAGGCAAGTGGAAGGCAGACCTTGTGACATGAGATGGATCGATCCCCTGCCATCACCTGGTTTCCTGGGCCAGGGGATTCTGGGAAACAGCCACTGTCGTGCCCACCACACAACAGGTTTCCCACAGATGTCCTGGTTAGGCCACCTGGAGTGCCTGAATCTCCCATGGTGGCAGTTAATACCTCTTGGCCTTTCAAGGTTTGTAGGAAGCCTTATTTGCAAATGGGAGAACAAGTTTCACAGGGACTTGAGTTTGGCCTTTGTGAGAGGTGAGGAGCCAGTCCTCTCATGAAGGCTCAGCTATGGCTGATATTCTGCTGATAACTTGGGGAGCAGAGTTAGCCGTATATCCCTTTTGCTCTTTCGCCTTCTGTCTTGCCCTAAGAGCATTTTTGGAACTGAGTTTGGCCTTCTGGCTGGGGGGTTTCAGGCGTGGGTGTGGTCAGGACAAATCAGCCGGGGCTTGCTAGTTTTGGGGTCCCCTTCATCTCCCTAGGGAGAACACAGGCATTCTCCAAAGTGCCAGAGCTTGAATTCCATAAATGAAATACCTGCTGCTTTGAATTCGAATTCGTGTGGTACAGGGATGGAGTGAGCCATCCCAAGAAGAGGCTAGCTGCTCTCACTCTTAGAGAAAAGGTTCCTGTAGAACCCAGGGGCTGTTCCCTTGGCAGATCAACGCTGTTTGATGATCTACTTCAAGCCTTTTGCAGTTTGTGCATTTCCATGCTTGCAAGCCTATTTGATTGACTGCCATAATTTTATTCGGGGTTCAGGGTGGCACAGTACCCTTGTGCTGTCAACCTCTGGCCCTACTCAACAGTTTCTCTTTCTCTCTCACTGACCAACAGGCAAAACAGCGGGTGGACGAAAACAAAGCTGGTCTTGGAGCTGTGAAACTGCAGGAACCTCCCTCGGCCAGTCAGATGAAGCCGGTGCGCACTGGCGCGATCAAGCCTCAGGCGGTCAAGGTGGAAGAGAGCAAGGCCTAACCAGTGCTGGCCCCCGGAAGCCTGCTGGCTTGTTCCACTGGGCTAAGAGAGGGAGGGAGAGAAGGCTCTACAGGTCACCCCACCTCTGTCCCCCCTACTCCAGCGAGTGGATGTGCTGAGACTTTTCCCTGGTCCTCCTGCAGCTCACCACCATGAAATCTGCCACCCGAAGCAATGTCATCTGAGTCCTTCCAACAACGCCGTTCTTGAGCAGTGGATTTTTCTTTTAACCTTGGCCTGCTTGCTTTGAAACAAACCGAACAAAAACGGCAAACGCCCCTTCGGCCTCCTGGACTTGCTGAGCATCTCTGGCCGTTTTCTTTTCCTGGTTTCTGTGTGCAAATAGCAGTGACTGGCCGTTGGTAAAGCCACGCCCCATCCCAGTCCTCCGGTCTCAGCAGAGTGGCAGCGAGGGGAAGGGATCGTGGGGGAAGCTTCGTCTGTCTTTCTTTTTAAAGGCTGCTGAGGTTTTTAAGAAAAACAGAATGCTCCATCTTTCGTTTTCTAGCTGAACTTTTCTATGTTCTCTCATAGTACCCCTCTTTCCTGCTGCTGCTGCTGCTGCTGCTCCTCCTCCTCCTCCTCTTCACATTCTGGAAAAGAAATTCCAAGACCAAAATCATGCACTTGGATGGACCCATCCTTTTGACTGGGTGGAGAGAGGTTGGGGTCTGTTCAGATGGCTGCAGTCTGAAACAGGTCCATGTCAGCCCTTGGTCCTCAGCTCCTCCCAGCTAAATACAGGATCAGCAAAGGCTTTTGTCGTCTTTGGCATTCCCCTTCCCCGCTTTATCACTAGAGACAGAGCTTGCTTTAGGAGTAAAATGTGTACGAGAAGCATTTGCAATCCCCGCGTGATGCATTTCAGTATTTGTGCAGCTCGGCTATAATTTTGGGGTGTCTCCTCTCGTCCTACATGGCAGAAAGAGTGGTGGGAAGGAATCTTGTTTTTGTTTGAAGAAAGGGCACTGAGCTTCAGTAACAGCAGCAGTACGTGGTCCGAAAAAGAGCTGCGAAAAGCACTCTTCCCGGAGTGGCTGCAGGCTCGGTATTTGAAAAGTGGAAGGTGCTGAGAATTTGTCAGTTCAACTGAAAAAACAAAACAAAACAGAGGATCTCATGCCTAAGTGGGAGACTATGTTCTCGTTGCTTGGCTGCTTTTCCCCCTTCTCAGAGGAAAGCTAGGCGATTGGCCCCTGGTGACGGTGTGCAAATTTCCCATATGCTGTCTTCCTGGGTTAGTCTTTTTCCTTTGATAGCTGAAGCAGAGTAGGTGATTGGCCGAGAAAGACCTCTCCCATCAGACAGCTGTAGTGCGCTCTTGTGTACCTGCGAAAGACCAACCACACACAATAAAAAATAACAAATAGAATTGCTCCATTTTCCGGATCTGCAACAAAAATGGCAAACCAGGGGTAGCTTGGGGGAGAATGAGGGTTTTTTCCAGCTTGGCCGAGTGGCTCGTAAGCTGAGCTCCATGGCCCACCATGGAATTCTGTCCCTGGTTTAGAGAACACACAGCCCATTGTGGGTCAAACAGGCCATGGATTGTCAAGGCTAGTTTGTTGCCCCAAAATAAGCCACCCTGCAGGAAGCGGGCTGTGTTCAGATGTCACAAGGGGTGCTAGTTCTTGCAAACCAGGTCTCTCCTTCTGCACGATCCACACAAATCCAGTCATCACTGGAGAGTTTGACATTGTTTTTCTTTTTTTTCTCATCTCTGGGAAAAGTTAGCATTGTGATAATAGGAGACGAGTTGCTCAGGACTGACCCAAAGCGGAGTCCATTAAGAAAGCTCTTTGCCTGGTGTGGATCCAACAGAGTCAGCTAGAACCAAGGAGTTTGTGAACTCCTTTTAATTTTGCTTAATGCCCCCTTCTCCTTTGTCTCTCTATTATCTCAACTTTTGGATTTCTTGTCTCATTCAGACTGATCTGTATTTTACTGTTTTGTTCTTCTCATTTTTTGTCTTTTTGTTGTGACGGTGGCCAGGAAATGATCTGGACTTCTTTCTTAGTTCTTTCTCTCTGCTTTCCTCTTCTGCTCGTATACTTCACAATAGACTACAGCAGATAAAAGACTTTTTTTCTTTGAAAAAAGGAAATAATTTTTATGGCCAGGGGAGTTTTATTTTACCCTGTGTTTTTTCTCCCTTTTTCTCTTCACCCTCCCCAGCAAATAATAATTTCCAGTGCAGTCATTTTTAGTAGCTACGAACATAGAGAGTCAATAATGTTTTTTCTTACTGAGCCACCGTGCTGAGAAAAGACAAGATTTTGGTGGCTGGGTTTCCACATGTGCTTTTTGTGTTGGAAACGATGTCAGAGGACCCTGGTGGAGCCAGATGCCTCCAGACTGTCTTCTGTGTAGATCGGTTTTGTAAAAAGACCCAAGAGTGGTCTATACCACACCCTGTGTAGGGAAGGAAAACTCTTTTCGCTTGCAGACAGTAGCTTAAAGTCTCTCCGCTGTTTTTCCTTAGGTGTCAAGCCAGTTGTTTTGCTGGTGGTTCCAAAGACGATGTGTTTTGAACAAAGAATGTATTTAAGGGTGCCGGGCGATGTTTGGGGATGTGTCAGGCTTGGCTGAGCAGAAGACCACATCCTCACCGATCTCCTAAAAAGCTGTCCAGATGTCTGAGCTTCTTTTTTTGACAAGTTATAGCGATGTCCCCTCTTCACCCATGCGCGTATCCCTTTGTGGGAAATCTTGAAGGGGTTTGAGATAGATGGTGCTTTTAAATAAATAGATAAATAAACAAATTGCTGTTTGGGGTGGGAGGGTTATTTTTGGTGGGTAACTTTTATGGCAGAGATGCTTCTTCTGGCGTCTTACATTGATCTGAGACTTCGTAATGTTGGCGTTTGAAATCGTCCCTCCTATCCCCATTCTTTTCAGAGACTGTGCAATTGATTATCTGGCGTGCTACTTCGGTTTCTTTTTTTCCCCTGACCGGCTCTGTGCAAACCTGCTCTTACTAGCATATTGCTTTGCACCAGCAGCACTCTTGACGGGTTTTGTTTTTAAAGACACAGACCTCATTTCTTTTGTATATTACTTTCAGATGCCCCCCTTTTAATTGTGGGGAGTGGGGTTTATTGCTAGATGCAAAATATTACAGAAACGCCTGGTGTAAATTTAACCAGAGAAATAGTCCTTAACTATTCAGGAGGGGGAAAAGTCACCCTCTTTTTATCGCATTGCCGTCTTGCCCAGCCCTTCTGCCCCCCTACACACACAACAAAACACTAGAATTTATTTATATGTATTTGATGTTGTAGGTCTAGGTGAAAAAGTAAATGTTTCACTTCTCTATTTATATATTATGTCTCAATTTATTCTGTGCAGGAAAGGCCAAGAATTAATCCATAATGCTGATTGCCTCTTCTTGTTTGTTTCTTCGTTTTTAACTGGTATGGCTGCCACGGGACTCATTTTTAACTTGGAAAGCTTTTCTTAGAGCCAACGCTTTTAAAGGCGCGACGCCCTCCCGCTTTGCCATGTATCGTTTCTCCAGCTTCAGCAGAAGATAGAAGACATGCTTTCGTAGTACCTGTTGGGCATCTTCAAAAGGTGAAAGGCGCTTGTGTTTCCTTCAGGGCAGAAGCGTGACATCCTTCACGGGGAGAGGATTGTGAGCATAGAAATAAACCAACTTGGGAAGAGAGGGGAGATGAGGGCAGTCGCAGTGGAGATGGGGGTGCCGATTCCTCCTCCGCCGTGACTCCACATAGGCTCTGACAATAAGCTGGCAAGGAAATAGCCTGGCTTCTCTTCACACACAAGTGGTGTAATGTTGAAGCATCCCCCCCCCTTCTCCTTGCACATGATTACGGCTTTTTCTTTATTCCACCAGCTGGGAAGCTCCAGGGCTCTTGCACAAGAAAGAGGAGATGAGGGGTCAGGTGTTGTCGTGTTTGTTCTTGTGCACTGGGGAAATGGTTTGCTCAGAAACACAGTTCCCAGCTGTGGGGGCCTGTTACTGAGCACGATACCGAAACAACACCCAGATCTGAAGCCCAGCGTTCGGCTGAGCTGCGCTCCTTCCTGGTGGATGCCATGCTGCCGCTTTGAACCAGTCGGTCAGTTGCAGGTTTAGCAGCATGTATGTAGGGTTCCCTTCTTCACCATGACGGCAGCTGCCTTCCCCAGCTTATTTTTAAGCCGCTGCTTGTCGAGGTTTAATGTGGAGCAGAGGTAAGACCACTCCACGAGCTTTTAAAATGAACATTGAAATGACACCGGCACCGATGAGGCAGTCTGGGGATCTTCACCTCTCTCCTGCCTCTTGTACAATGAGAGCGACTGCATGGTTGGTTTGCCACACACTGAGTTCGCGTACCCTCAAGGTGTACAGTGAGATTTCCTCCCCACCCCAACCCTCCAAGAGTGCTCCAAGCTGTCATTTTCTCAGTTTTAAAGAACTGCCTTGCCGTTCTGCTTCCGTGTGGTTCCTTGTTTAGCTGGCGGCCTGATCCATTCCAAAAAGCCCCCTTCCTTCTGCCTTGTCATGTTTGAATTCTGTTTTTTTTTTTTTTTGCCTGTGATGTTTATGCAAAGTTAATGCATCACTTTTAAGTTGTCGTCGTCGTCGTCGTCGTTATTGGTCTGGTTTCAAAGTATGAAAATGCGACCTTCTGAAAAAGGACAAAACTCACACTAATGATAAGAAGCAGAATCTTCTTCAATGAAGTATAGTCCTTCAGATCAGATGAGCAGATAATTTAAAGCCATGGAAGTGCCAGTTACAGAGAGATGCAGTGAAGCAGAGACAGATTAGCTCCCAAATTTACTTTTTGGTGTCACTTAGCACTAGACTCGGTTTGTCCAATGGCCTGTACAAGATATATCCATCTCGTAGATTAAGTGGAAAATGCAACGTGGCATTCACTCTGGCATGTCGAGGCATTGTTTGCAGCAAGTTTTCTTCCTCCTGGTCATGTATAAATGGCATCTGTTGCTTTTTTTAAAGAGGATATTGTACTTCTTTTAACCTTGCAACCTGTACAGTAAAAAAGAAAAAAAAGGCCTTTCCTCATGTTTGTCTTTTCATATAGACCAGATATTTGAAAGGGCAAACAACGACTTAAGATGTTAACAAATGACATGTATGAAAAATCTTTCCGGGAAACTTTTAACATGGACTTGGACATCTGATAGCAGAATTGCCAGGCTGGCGGCAGCAACATGTTCTCGCCCTTCTCTTCTTGTTTTCCGTTCCTATGGTTTCTCCTTTCAAATACGTGATTGTATTAGCTCTTTCCATATGAAAGAATTCTCCTTATTTAAATAATAAAAAATAAAAAGCAGGCTAGACTTGTCAGAACTGACATGTTCTCACGATGAAATGACTGGGAAGCAGGACATGGAAAATAAACACCACTGCCCCTGTGGTTTTGCTGTAAGTGCTCCCACCATATATGACAATAACTAGGCTGCTTGGCTTCCCCAGTACAGTAGGACACGCACAGATCGAAGTTTCGGGAGCAGATATTTTTGATCTGTTTCGTTTTGCCAGTGGTTCTGCCCACCACTAGAATGTGGCCTTTAGGAGCTTTTCCAAAATAGAATTTGACCCTTAGTTCGAAAGAGGTTTCATGCCCCTGATTTCAAGAACATTTCTTGGAAAAAAACGCAAAATACACTAGCTTTGAGAGTAAAAATTCTTGTATTGACCAACTGATTTGCCAGCTGTGTAACCAATTAAACAGAGAGGGGGGAATTGCCCAGCTGTTCTACTTCTGCTCTTGCAGCTGGATGGAATGTCTGCTAGATGATAATTGAGCAGATAAAAGCAGCTTGTATTCCAGCACTGTCAGATACAAACATATTTCAAAGAGAACAACCTAGTTGTGGGAGAGGTGGTGTCCTCATAGGAAGGGTGCTTATCTGGTACAAGCCATCTTGCTTGGAGACATTCAGAGCCATAAATGCCTCCACTTCCATGGCTTAATCTGGGAAGCATCTGGCCCTTCAGGGTCCAACATGGGCCACAATCAGACTGGTCTCTTTAGGATCAGTGAGGTGATGAATATAAAGCACTGCTTGAAGTGGGAGAAAAAGGGAAGAGGGGTAATTTTGTTTCAGATGAAGCCAGAATTAATCCCATTGGAAAACTGGTATGAACAGAAGTGATACGAATGCTGTCTATGATGGGACAAAATCTCAACCCTCAAGTCATGTTTTCTGGTTTCAGTAGGAACTGAGATATTTGTCCCATGGGACTGGAGTGTGACCAACTTGGGCTGAACCCAACCCTGTACCTTTGACAACAACATGGTTGGGAGAAACTAAAGTAGGTGCGGGTGAAGGAGGAGAGTGCAAAAGTTGGCTTGAAACTCAAAATTAAGAAAACTAAGATCATGGCATCCGGTCCTCTCACTTCCTGGCAAATACATGGGAAAAAAATGAAGGTAGTGACAGATTTTATTTTTCTGGGCTCCAAGATCACTGCTGGTGGTGACTGCAGCCAAGAAATTAAAAGACGCTTCTGGGGAGGAAAGCTATGGCAAATCTAGACAACATACTAAAAAGCAGAGACATCACCCTGCCAACAAAAGTGCGTATAGTCAAGGCTATGTATGGCTGTGAAAGCTGGACCATAAGGAAGGCTGAGTACCGAAGAACTGAGGCTTTTGAATTGTACTGGAGGAGACTCCTGCGAGTCCCTTGGACCGCAAGGCAATCAAACCGGTCAGTCCGAGAGGAGATCAACCCTGACTGCTCTTTAGAAGGTCAGATACTGAAGATGAAACTCGAATCCTTTGGCCACCTAATGAGCAGGAAGGACTCCCTGGAGAAGCCCCTGATGCTGGGAATGATTGACGGCAAGAGAAGAAGGGGACGGCAGAGGATGAGGTGGCTGGATGGAGTCACTGAAGGCGTCGGCGTGAGCTTAGGTGGACTCTGGGAGATGGTGGAGGACAGGAAGGCCTGGAGGAAGGTTGTCCATGGGGTCGTGAAGGGTTGGATGTGACTTCGCAACTAATAACAACAAAGTAGGTGCATCTTTCCACAACACAAAGGTGGGAGGGAGCAAGCTGAACTTGCATTTTTCTTTCAGGCAAAGTTGATGCGGGAGGATGGATGGGCTGCTGGGCTCTTCTCTAGCTTTCTGTAAGGACAGTCGAGTGTGGGACCTCCTTGGATTCAAAGGATTTCTTTTAGCATGTGGCCTCGCTTCTGCTTTGGGCAGGTTATGTGGCCTTTTTGACTTGCCCAGAAAGCAAGTCAGCATTTTGTGGCATCACCCAGAACAGTTTTCCAAAGTTGCCCATCAAACAACACCCAACACCCACTGGTTATGGTCTTCTGCGATTCACTCTGTTTGGATTACACTGAAGATTTCTAAATTCACTTCTATACAAATAAAGTCATGCAAGCAGATGTACCACACATTGCTCTCCTATCTTGCCCCGTTTGTGTGTGTGTGGTGCATTTCCTTCTTTTTGGCAGTTCCTAAGTGGCCATCCTAACTTTAAATTTCAGTTGGCAACTTCAGCCAAGGGGAGAACTATGTACAAGCAGCTCTAAAAACAAAGGTGAGGCAAATTAGACTCATAATCATTAACCATTACTTTTTTAGTTATATTCCTGTCTTTCCCCTCATGAGGAACCCAAGGCAGCTTTCATTTTATCTGCACAACAGCCCTGTGAGGTAGCTTAGGCTCAGAGCCAGTGGCTGGCCCAAAGTCACCCAGTGAGCTTCAAGGCTGAGTGGGGACTAGAACTATTTATTTACATTTATATCATGAGTTTTCTCCCCTCACAAGGAACTCATGGCAGTTTGTGAGTTTTTGTCCTCACAACAACCCTGCAAGGTAGGCTAGCCTGAGTCTGACTGGTGCAAAGCCACTCCATAAGCTTCAGGACTGAGCACAATCCAACACTTAACTATGGATTTTTTAAAATCAGGGAAAGGAAAGCTACACCGGGTGAATTTCTTCCTGTCCAAAGGCAAGTGTTCGCGGTACGAGAGTCCTAGTAGGGGTGGCAATTCTTCCAAACACGCACGGAGCTAAAGATGAGCTGGGAGGTGGCAAGGGAGCCTGTCTAAGGCACATTCCCGAAAGGCCTACAACTCCCGACATGCCTCCCTTGTTAAGGCATGCTGGGAGTTGTAGGCCTTACCCCAGGACCATAGGAATAACGAATTCCAGGCCGCGCGTGGTTACCAAGGTAACCGCGCAGGCTCCGCTCACAGAGGGCCGGCCCAGTACGTGCGTGGTGACGTCACACCCCACCTCTTCCGCGGCGTCTTCTGAAGCGCTGGTAAGGTGGGCCTGGGCGTGCTGCTAGAGGGCGTTTCCTTCCCTTATTAAAAATTGGTACGGCCGATATTTCTCTTGTTCCTGCAGGTAGGTGGACGGTCTCATTCAGACAGAAGGGGGGGAGAGGTGAATTCAAATTACCCCGAGTTGGGAGAAGTCGGGCGAGGTTCAAGCTTTCTGGGGTGTTGTTGGTCTAACGGTACTTTTCCAGGCACCTCATGATACTCTGGATGCGCTCCGGCTATGGGGCGGTAACGAAATGGAATAAATAATAACTTGAACCCAGGGCTGAAATTTCGCTTTTCTCCGCGGGGTCTAATCTTATGTGAAGAGTGTATAGCAGAGAAATGGGGAAGGGACCGAATATGGGGGTTCGACTGCTCTAGGGGGCGTTGGCCCCCTTGAAGCAAGCCCAGGTGGAGCTCACCAGGTTGGGGAAATTCAGAAGCGATACGTGAAGCTGCCTTTCACGTTGTTGCCCGAGTTGCAAACTATCAGCTGCAAGCCGTCAGGTCTCCTCTGAAGTAAGCCGCACTAAATTCAGCAGGTTTAACTCCTAGGAAAGGGTGCATAGAGTCATGGCCTTCCTAAAATGAAACGATTGACTTGAAAACGCTGCCTCCCAGAGGAGGTTGACTGCAGCATCTCTGCGGGAGTCCTCGTTCTGATCTTTGCCTTCTTCTAGTTAGTTTCTTCTGCAGAAAGATGATTCTGCTGAGTTGCAGCATGCCTCCTTTGAGTTACAGCCATGGATGCAGGAGAATTACAGCATCCTCAGTCCTGATGAGTCACTGCTTTTTCAGCCAGGAGGGGGTGCCTTCCTTGAGTGAGCATGATTTGTACTCTTACATCTAGACCTGTGAGGCTCTAAATGTCTCCAGCATGATTTCAGAATTTGTTCTTTTCCAGTTTCATACATTTAGGTTTCTGCCTTCTTGTCAGAGGCATAAGGTGGAGTAGTGGGAGTGAATGTGTTGGATTTGGTTGGGCTGCAGAAGTATATTTTAAAACCTTTTTATTCGCCCTACATTTTAAGGTTTAAATCAGTTTAATCCAGCTTTATTGATATTCTCAGTCTCATTTTGTTATTGTATTTTTGATTGTTTGTGTATTTATTGCCTATTTATATTGTAAGCTGTCCTGGGGCAATTGGATTGTGAGGGATGAGATAAAAATATTCCAAATAAAATAAATAAAAATAATAGAGAAGCATTTCAATATTTTAGAATGTTTTATAGTTTTACTGTATAAAAACCAGGAAGCCACAAAACAATTGGTGGTAAAAAAGAGGGTTATAGTTACACGGAGATCCCAGCAGGGACAAATTTGGGCCACTGGAGTGCCAGATTGGGACTCCAGGCTTGAGGATCTTCATCCCATCTTAAAGCCTAGTAGGTTTTCTTGTTGGTAGCAGATGTTAAACATATGTCTCCCAAGTGCATGATGTGGGCTCTAGTCCACATGGTTTTCCCCCCATAGCAGATCTACTTGTCCTTGGGGTGTCTCTCTTCTCCTGTAACTGATTAACAGGGCTGATCATCTTAAACATTATGTCATCTCAAAATGCGAGAAGTTTTTCTTTGATAACAATACACTTTCTCTTCCCTTTTGGATTTGACAAAATCACTAGGCACAATGCTGGACTTCCTGAAGCATCCGATTCTCCTTTCTGTGGATGTCAATGTGAATCTGCTGGTTTTGACTGTGTTAGGATTAATAAGCCGGTTGTGGGGCCTCTCCTACCCCCGAGCTGTTGTGTAAGTATTAAAGATACATTGCATTTATCTTTTTTTTCTTCTCAGCACGGTCTGTTTTCCTTTTCTGAACTGTGCGTGTCTGATACCACACATCTCGGGGTGCCGTTTCCCTCCTGGAGTACATGCCCGCTTTACAGAAGCTTTGGCCTTGCTTTGGCGTTCCCTGTGGGTTGTTTTCCTTGTTAGAAAATGATTGTTAGAGGATTGTCTGTATAATTTTCCCGGCCACCTTGGAAGTTTTCATACTGCAAAGTATGCTTAAAGTATGCGAGTAACTAAAGCTACATTAAGCTTCAAATAGGCAGCATGTTATGTTTTCATGAAACCCCAAATTGGCTGCTCCTGGTGAGTTGCCCTCCTCTTCCTGTGTCTAGATTTTGGGCCTCCTTGCAATTTGTAGTTTGGCTTGTAGAATGAGGTGTCATTTTGCTGCTCCGTTGTCTTCAGATGCAGTGTCCACTCCCGCTTGTTGGGAACCCTTGTGCAAGCCCCCTCCGCCCCCCCCCCCCGGCTCCCTGCCTCATCAAGCTTACCTTCTTGCTGCCATTGTCTCTCATTGTTTTCGTCCCTCCCATCTTACCGTGGCTGCAGCTTTCTTGCCGCTGGCAGCCCGGCTCGTTAATCCCCTCCCCTTGTGCTGTTCTGCCCCAGTTTGGCATGAGGTCTGAACCTCGCTGGGGTCGCTAACAAGGCACCCAGCCACCCTACACTGGGCTATACATGGTGCCCCCAAACTCTGACATTATTTGAAATGTGAATATCTGAGTAACTACATGTCCTAGGCAAACAACATTAAATAGGCTTCATGTTACATAGAAACATAGAAACAGCGCTAGCCAGAAGGGCCTCCCGGGCCATCTAGTCTGACCCCCGGCTCCAGCTGGCTCCGCTCATGACATGCCCACCGTGTGCATGTCCAGCCTATCCTTGAACACCCGCACGCACCGATGGGGCCTCAACCCCCTCCCATGGAAGCCCATTCCACCCCCTCGGGGTCCTAACCGTCAGGAAGTGCTTCCTGGCATCCAGACGAAACCTTGGCTCCCTGAGCTTGGCTCCGTTGGAGAGTGTCCAGCCTTCCTCTGCAGGGGAGAACAGGTCTCTGCCCACCTCCGTGTGACGCCCCCTCACATACCTGTATGTCGCCAACATATCCCCTCGGAGTCTCTTCTTCTCCAGGCTGAAGAGACCCAGTTCCCTCAGTCTCGCCCCATATGGCATCCCCTGCAAACCGGCCGCCAACCTTGTGGCCCTTCGCTGCACTGACTCCAACCTGGCTATATCCTTTCTGTAATGAGGGGCCCAAAACTGAACACAATACTCCAGTTGCGGGCGCACTAGAGTCATATAGAGTGGTAGTAATCCCTCTCTCGATCTAGAAGCCACACTTCTGGCTATGCAACCAAGGGTGGTGTTCGCCCTCTTGACCACCGCATCACACTGCTGGCTCATGTTTAGCCTGCAGTCAACCAGCACCCCGAGGTCCCTTTCACAAGTGCTGCTCTCCAGCCACTTGTCCCCTAACCTGCACTTATGACACCCATTCCTATGCCCCAAGTGCAAGACCTTGCACTTATCCACATTGAACGCCATCCTGTTGTCTCCTGCCCACTTCCATAGTCTGTCCAGATCCAAAAGGATATGTTGAACAATAAAAGATTTATTTATCAAAATTCGAACAAGAGATTCAAAGGGATGTAGATTTTATAACCGGTTTCACAAAGCTGCACAAATGTTCGATATGTGCACCGCCTGTGACACGACACACGTCCAGTCGGTAGTCCACCTCCAGCCAGACACGCTGTAGCATGTCTGGCGTAACACTGCGTAACTAACATTAGTTAGTTTTTACACGTTTTGTTAAAATTTGAGATCATTTGAGCGAGAATTGGCTAAGTTATTAGACTACAAAATGATGCCAGTTGTTTGGGGACACCCTGTAGGTTCAGGGTGATCTGTCAGCCACCCCAGAAACACCCTCACTGTGTCCAGATGTCGCCATAAGCCATGCCTGGTGAGAGCTGTTGGGAGAATTGGGTGGCTCACCGGCCCCCTCAGGACCACCCTTGTGCTGTGGGGACCACGTCTCCTCCTCCTCTTTGCTGCTGCTCTCCTCCGGGCCTGCACAGGAGGCAGGTGAGCATGGAGCTGTCCTTCCTTTCCTTCAGAACAGCCTTCCCCAACCCGGGGGCCTTCAGAGGCATTTGGACCGCAACTCCCACAATCCCCATCCTGCAGGACCATTGCCTGGGCATTCTGGGTGTTGCACTCCAAACGTGTCTGGAAGGCACAAGTTTGGGGAAGGCTACTTTAGAAGGTTCCTGTGGTCAGACAAACCCGTTAGTCAGCTACACCGAGAGCCCGGTTCCTTTACTGTTTACTGACTGAGACGCCTGCGTGCTTTTTTGTTTGTTTATCTGGAGATTTAGCTTTGACGAGGTTTACTACGGCCAGTTCCTCTCACTGTATATGAAGCGGATCTTTTTTCTGGATGACAGTGGCCCGCCCTTGGGTCACATGCTTCTGGCGCTTGGAGGTAAGCGGAAGGTGCGCTGAACTTCGCTCGATTTAGATGGTTCGGCAGAACTTCTTGCAAGTGCTCGGAGTGGCATCCCGGGGCGAACCCTTGAGAAAAGCCTTCCGTGTCCTAAAAACCTGTATTTTTGAAAAGTTCAGGCGGACAAATCAGAGTCAAGTCTGGAGGAAGGGAAAACCCCATGGACTTCCACAGGAGAGAAATATTGCTAGCGCAACGTGAACCCAGAAAAGGCTGCGAAATTGAGAATCGGATGTTCAGAAATGCGCTCCTTTTTTTTGTATTCCTGAGCACCATATTCTCTGTTTTCACATCCTGGTGGGGCAACCTGTGCATCCTGTGCATCTTGGTGCTGAGCCTGTTGAGACGCTTGGGCAGGGATGGTTTTGCACTGTGGTCTTAACCGAATGGTCCTTCGTGCAGCTTTCACTTGACGAAATGTTGCACCAAGAATACAATGGTCTGCCTTGTTCAAGGGCACAGTCTTGTGGATGCTTACTCAGAAGGAGGTCCTGGTGTGTTCTGTGGGATTTACTCCCTAGTAACATAGAAACAGAGCAAGTCAGAAGGGGTCTCCCGGGCCATCCAGTCTGACCCCTGGCTCCAGCCGGCTCCGCTCACGACATGCCCACCATGTGCAAGTCCAGGCTGTCCTTGAACACCTCACCGACGGGGCCTCAACCGCCTCCCGTGGAAGCCCATTCCAGACCCTGGGACAGTGATGGTGAACCTTTTAGAGACCGAGTACCCGGACTGCAACCCAAAACCCACTTAGTTATCGCAAAGTGCCAGCACTACAATAAAACTTGAATACTGAGGTTCTAGTTTGGGGGAGGGGGGAAATTCATACATTAACATCTTTTGTCTTAAAAGAAAAATACAATAACCGAGCTTTCAGTGATACAAGCAGCTTTTTATTGAAAGGTAAAATTTGCATTTGGCATGCTTTTGCACAATTAATGTGATCTTTGCTGTTGTATGCATGCTGATAATTTGTCAAACCTCGGCTCATATTTCGTTTCAATTTTTCTTAAGAAAACTCAAAGCTAAAATCTTGTGTGAATGAAAACGAATGTATTAAAACTCACAGCCAGTCCAAGCAAATCTATATATATCCTTGGCAGCGCATTGACCGGCCATGCGAAAGCTTGGACGGGTCGTGGCTAATGAGTCGCAGCTTGTGACATCATCGCCTGGCGCCGCTACTCCTTTCTGAGCACGCGCATGGCCCCCGTGTGCGCCGTTATCCGATGCTCGGCTGCTGGGGCGATGCTGGGGCGACTCGGCTGGTGTGCCGGCAGAGAGGGCTCTGCGTGCTTTGCCCGCTGTGGCACACGTGCCAGAGGTTCACCACCCCTGCCCTAGGGGTCCTAACTGTCAGGAAGTACTTCCAATTGTTGAGCAAGTCACTGCATATGGATTCCCCACTCTGTTTCTCTTCCCCGTCCCATTCCTACTAGGCTACTTAGGTGGATTCGATGGCAACTTCCTGTGGAACAGAATTGGGGCAGGTAAGAGGTGTTTCTGAGTCACCTTCCGTTTCTGCAGTATAGAACAGCTTGTGGGTCACTCTGTGGATCATTCTTCTGGAGGTTCGATTTCACAACAGAAAGCGTCGTTTTGCTCTGACCTGGTGGGCTCAGTGCAACAAGCCACCACAAGGTTGTTGAATCAGGGGTTATGTTGTGTGAAGCCAGCCACAGTAGCAAACTGTAGTTTGTTAACAACCCACACAGAGAACCCCTGGTTTGTTGCTGGACAGTGAACTTTGGGTTGTTGGTGATTAACAAACCATGGTTTGTAGGCACGGCTGGGTTCACACAGCGCGGCCACCTTCAGCTCTGCAGCAACTTACACTTAACCTGTGATTGCCCTTTTGTGTGAAGCAAGACTCTCTGTGGTTAGACTGAAGGTTGGAAGCTTGACTAGGAAATAGATGTGCCATCAGCTGACTTGGTATCAGCCCCTTGCGGGCACCAGTGCCACTTTCCAGTACATGATTTTTAAATCCAGTGTTCTTTCTGCCTCTGTTTTAAGCATCATTAGTGCTGCAGCTGGAGGGCTGCATTTCGCACATGTCAAATGCCTGCTTTAGGCTCAGGTCGGCCTTTTCACCTGAGACTGGGAAGGAGCCTCTCTTCTTGAAACCTTGGGGCGGCTGGACCCGTGGGCTGGCTCTGATAAGGCAGCCTCTCTGGGATCCAGAAACAAGCCTTGAAATTATAAGAAGCTGCATCTTATTTTGCGTGTCCATTTAAAATTAAATACCTAAAGATCATTTGATCAGTTGGTTGAAAAACTGAAGAAGAGTCTTAGGGACCTACGACAGCTGCCTTGCAGTGAGTCAGACCCTGCATCTGTCTAGGCCTATATTACTTGACACTGACTGGCAGCCAAGCCTTCGCATTGTTTCAGGCAGGATTTTTCCAGTTCTGTCTGGAGATGTCAGGAATCGCCATTTATGTAATTCAGGGCTCTGCATCTACAGCCCTTTGCTTAAAATGGAAGCAAGATACCAGCCCGCATGGTTTTGAATAGGATGCTGATATGAACAGGAATATAGGAGTAAGGCCCTGGGCTGACTGAATCCTGTAGCGTGAGCACAGACTGGCAGCCATGGCTCTCCAGGGTTTCAGGCAGGAGCTGCCTGGAAGTGCTGCAGGCCAGACCAGGGACCTGTGTTCACAGTTCGCCGTCTGAATGTCATGGCACAAAAGGAAAGAGGCTCAGTGGGAGGAAGAATAGCAAAGCCGGGCATAGCTCCTCGGGGGCCAAGTTCTTCAAGATGCAGATCGAACGCAGAGAGGGCCGCCGCCGCGTTGTCAGCGAGGGGTGGCGTTGTTGCTTTCTCTCCCTCTCGTTGCCCCTCATTGTCTCCAGTGCTCGTTGCGGTGCCTGACTCTTGCCCGTCTCGCGTTTCTGTTTCAGTGTACAGCCCCAACGTGCCTGTGTGGGCCCTGCGGCTGCTGCCGGCCACTGCCGGCGCCCTGTGCATTCCTCTGGCTTACCAAATACTGGTGGAGCTGCAGTTCTCACACGTCGTTGCTCTCGGGGCCGCTCTGCTGCTTCTGTTGGGTAAGAAATCGACCTCCTCTGCCTTCCAGGTGGATTGAAGGTGGGCAACTCGGGGCCCTCCAGGGACTGGCCAGGGCTGATGGGATTGTAGGCCAAAAGCCCCCCAGCACCTGGGCTGCCTGAAAAGCCCTGATAAATTCTACCCAAGACTGGCTAGGCGGTGCTGTGGTGAGCAGCCAGAAGGGCTTGGGCCAGGTCTCCCAGCTGCCCTGGCGCTCCTGTAATGTTCATGATTAATAACAATTGTAATAAAATACAGGAAACTATCATCATGTGATCAATATTAAGCGGTATCAAATATTAAGGCTATATCCTACCTAATTTCATTGCTGGGGGAGGAAAATTTAGTGTGGCTGCATTTTTATTAATTAATTGGCTCTCCAGCTGAAAAGACAAACTTCGATAAACTAGAGTGTTTATTTTCAAAATAGTTCTTTTGTTCCCTGACAGAGAACTCGCTCATCACCCAGTCGAGACTGATGCTCTTGGAGTCCATGTTAATATTTTTCATCCTCTCGGCTGTTTTATCCTACCTCAAGTTCTACAACACTCAGAAGCAAAGGTAAAAAGCTCCTTTCTGCGAAGCCATTTGGCAGAGAGACCATCCTGGTTTTAGGACAAAGAAACAGAGCGAGTCAGAAGGGGTCTCCCGGGCCATCTAGTCTGACCCCCGACTCCAGCCGGCTCCGCTCATGACATGCCCACCAGGACATGGGTAGAGATTGAGCTGGGAGGCCTTTGTGTTGGGTGAAGTACAAGTAGTGGAATCGTATCTTCTTGGGTGGCTGTTTAGCTTTCCCAAAAAGGTCCAGGGCAGCACTGAAGCTCCAGCTGAGATCCTGAATCGGTATTAAAATTCACTGTGCACATTCAGTTGGTATTTTAACCTGCCCCTTTTCTAGGATGGCCTGATGGATTTCTCCTGGCTCTTTAATGGCCGGCTGAGACCTGCAGTTGATCGAAAGCTCCTGTCACGATTGGCATTAAATTTCCACTCTTTTTCCACACCCCCCACCCACCCCCTCCTCCCTGCCGGCTTGCAGACTAGATTAGAAGGGATCCAGAAAGCTTGACACGGTCTCGGGGTACCTGAAGCACAACAATCATATTTTCGTACTGCCTCAAAGACTTTTTCTCAGAAAACTAGAAAAAGGGTTAGGGTTAGGGCTGAAATCCAGGGTAGGGTTGGGGTTCGGAAAACAAAGGTGCTAATGATGTTTCTGATGGCTGGAATGCGACCGGAATTGCAAGATACAATGAGGTGGGCAGAGAAAACTCCGGAAGGTGAGGAGTTTAGGAATCGCTACAATGCACTGTGAAAAATTTTGGGTTGTAACTGTTTGCCTGTAACCTGTTGATAGATCCTTTCCCTTTTTCTTTGCCTTTTCCAAGGTACTTTTCGGCAAGATGGTGGTTCTGGCTCTTGCTGACGGGATTTTGCTGCACCTGTGCCGTCGGGTAAGCCTGGGCGTTCCCCTCCCCCTTCCTTCCTTGATCTCATTTCCCTGCCTCGCCAATGCGCTGGACTTTCCTACCATTCAGGTGAATGTATATACTTATATGCTGCTTCCCCAACATGTCTTTAAAGCAGTTTGACACATAAGGAAGGTGTGATCTACAATTGTATAAACCAAGTATAAAACCAGAGTAAAATGAATATGTATATGAACAGAGGGGGGATCCTGCTAGGGAGGAATGGCCAAAACGTGGCTTGAACAGAAGCTCATCGGGACGGTGAACAATGGTCCAGGTCACACATAACGCCACGTCACCTTTTGGTGTCATGAAGTGGCACCACAGCTGGTCTCCTGCTCACATGGGTCCCGTGTCCCTCTAGCACAGCCACGAGGACAGCACAAGCTTCGCTCCCATTTTAAATCGACCCTTAGTTCAGTGTTACTGTGGCTAACTTAGTGAAAACACTCAGTGAAAACAAGCCAGCTTTGTAAACTGTGGCTTGAAGTAGATGTCTTTCTCCTAACCATACATAGCAGTAGCCCCTGTTCATCTGGCGTCAGGAAACATGACAAGGCCCAAACTCCCTGTTGTGGCATCCAAAGAAGAGTGGGAGCTTTGTGAGCCGGAGGGCTCCGTTGTGATGCTAAACCACGGTTTAGGAACCTTCCCCAGAGCTGTTTCACACCTCACTTTTCTGTTTCTCTCAATGCCTCATTCACAGGGTGAAATATATGGGTCTGTTCACGTATATCCTGTTGTTGGCCGTCGCGGGAGTCCACTCGTGGCACTTGATTGGTGACCAGGCCTTGACCAAAGTAAGTGCCAGCTGGCAACCCAGGCACCCCTTTGTGGAGAGGGCGTGTATCGTGTATCCCAGAGCGCTGGAGGGGTCCATGCGACACTGTGGGTGGGGTGTAGGGGGGCCGAGGCTGAATGCTGGAAGGTGTGTACACAACGTTTACAGGGATGTGAGGGAGCCCAGAGACGACACAAACATTTGCTTTTGCTGAAGTTTCTAGGCCGAGGTGAGAGGTTTATGGTCCTTGGAGCTGGCCCTTCCGTTCTGTGGTGACTCAGCAGCCAAAACATCTGGAGGATGATAGCATCACTGGGAAGCAAACTTAACTCTTTAGGTGCACACAGTAACCTTTTTGCCTCTTTCCTCTTAGGCTTCCCTGCTTGCTCACTTGCTAGCCAGAGGGCTAGCCCTTGTGGTCATCCCCGTGGTCACCTACCTGTCTTTCTTCTACATCCACTTGGCTTTGCTTTATCGTTCGGGGCCCCACGACCACATCATGAGCAGTGCTTTCCAAGCAAGCCTGGAGGTGAGGAAAGGACGACGGACTCACGAGCTGCTTTGGAAAGGGGACTTCTCATCAGAGCAGCCGGAAGCTTTTAACCTTCCAAAAACTTGGAAAAAAAGTCTGCTTCATGAGCACCTGTTTAACGTTGCTCTGTGCTGACTTCCGGAGGGCCCCGGCATTCTGAGTCAAAATCCCAGGGCTCCCATCGTCCAAACCTGTCTGATTCCTGCATTATAATTTCTGTTTATTTTGAATATATTCCGTTCAGGGCAGGGCCATATCCCACGTGATTTGGCGGCCATCTTTTTGCCTGAGGGAAAAAGATTCCATTGGTGACAGGGCCAAAGGAGCAAGTTTGAACGGTCGGCTTGCTTTAACTTAAAAGTGCTGGTGGCTGCGCTTTGGGAGGGACTTTTAGTGTAAAGAAAAAGGTACAAAGCAGGGGAAATCGCCACAGATCGGTGGTGGGGGGAAGGGATTGGAGCCAGAGGGATGGGGTGGCCCTTTGGGGGAACACGGAGAGGTGGATTTGGCAGGCAGAGCTGAACACGGAATAGGGTAGGCCTAAAAGGGGGCAAAGATGAAGGGCCTGATCCCTCCCTGCCTGAACTTAACACTCTCCTGCCTTCAGAAGGAAGCATATCAGCCTCTGGAATAGAGCAGTGCAAAACAGCTTCCTCATTTCCCGCAATCTGCACGTCCAAGGCTGCTGCATAGATGAGAACTTTTGGCAGCTTTTCCATCTCCCAAACGGTCCAAAACAGGTCTCAGCTTTTAAAAAGTCCCAAAATATTTTTCAAAATGTGTATTTTGGGAGAAAAAGATTTAGATATGCCAGTGTGTTGCGTGCAGGTTTAAAAAGTGCTCTTTAATGTGGAAATGGAGCATCAGATTTACTGTTGAACGGTGCTGGAGAGGAACGAGTTGGAAACGGGTAGGGGAAAGCTGGAGTCCCGAGGGCACTGGGCTGAGGCAGGTGCTGGCAGTGCATTGCCAGTGCAGAAGAAAATATATCTCTTGCACCAACGTTTGACCTCGTGCATGGTTTTCCATTTAGCCAGAGAGGGGACAGCACATTTGCTGTCGGCCAGAAAGGCTTGGATTCGGATCTTTACTCACGACTGTAAGCTAAGGGCAGGCCTCACGTTGGAGGCTGTTTGGATTGTTCTGGGGTGTGACTGAGAGCAGCTAAGAAGATGCGGAGTGGGCCCTTCGGCTTCATGTCTCGTGTGCTTTCCAGGGAGGGCTTGCTCGGATCACTCAAGGCCAGCCTCTGGAGGTTGCCTATGGCTCCCAGATAACGTTGAGGAACGTCTTGGGCAAACCCATGCCTTGCTGGCTGCATTCCCACAAAAACACTTACCCGATCAGGTAATCAAAATGTTTCTTTGTTCTGTGCAAGGGCGACCCAGAGAACCTCCTGTGATATCGGGTAACCAACCTCGGCACCCCATACTTGGCTTATTGCCGGGGGTAAAATCTCCCAGAGATTTTCCTTCTTGAAATCTGGCGAGTTTCCAAAATGGCCCTTGGATCGAGCCTCCCCCTCGACAGCTGTGACGCTCACGGCTTGTGCCACACCTGCGCACTGGGCCCTGATTCCAGAAAGGGCCATGGGGGCGGATCCTTCAGTCTGGTTCGTGTCTGAGGCGCTTGGTATTTTAGAAGACGATTCCTTTTGTTTGGCTTTCCCCTGTTTTAGCATATCTTCTTCTCCTGAATAGTTAGACCGCGTTCCATGATATCCCATAGTGGTATTTTGACACCGTATGTGTGTTATGAAAATAATTTTATTCACACCTCTGGATAAAAGGCCACTAAGGAGTAGTGGCCTGAAATAGCACCTTCTCCCTTCAAGTCTGTCTGGATTTCAAAGGAGGCCCACCGCTCTGTAGAGCCATCATCTGGGGGGATGCAAGGGTCTTTTTGGTGGGTGCCCCCACAACTTAGAACTTGGTGCCAGGAGAGGCTGGATCCCCCCCGCCCCCCCCCACTAGCAAGCAGAGCTGCTTTCCTCGAAGCAGGCATTTGACGTATTGAGCTCTTGTGTTTCTTTCTTTGAGTGTTCTTTTTAATTACGCTTTTCAGTTGTTTGTATGTTACGTTTTCATGACAATGTCATTGAAATCCCTTCAGTCTGGATTTCCATAGCACCGCGGATGCAAGCTTTTGGCAGAAAGGCCAGATAAGAATGAAATAAAATGTTTTAATGGGACAAATCATTGACAAAAGACATGCCCACGTATCCCTCCAGTTCTTGTTAGGCTGCAGGTCACCCTCCCCATGGGCTAGGACTGATGTGAGTTTCCGCACTGGTTCCGTTGCCCCCTTTCTTTCTGTAAAGTGCTTTGAGAGGTTGCTTACACCCGAGGAGTAATTGGCAGCTGCTGCAGTAGGTGTGTATGAGAGAGAGTCCTTTTATTCTGCGAGGGCTGTTCCCTCTCTCCCCGGTCTGTTACCGAGCGAGATACTCGGTATTGCAGCTTTGCATCAGTTTTCAGGGCCTTGGTCGTGTGATTTCTCGGGAGAATGCCCTTCCCTTAAGTTTTCCTCTCCCCTTTCAACAGGTACGAGAATGGGCGCGGCAGCTCACACCAGCAGCAGGTGACTTGCTACCCTTTCAAGGACGTGAACAATTGGTGGATCGTGAAGGATCCTGGGACGTGAGTAAAGGGATTCCTCCGGATTGGGGTCTGTCAGGGCCCTTGCCTTGTGGGTCCCCACCAGGAAGCAGCTTTGAGGGGAGAGCATGGGGAAGGATGTGGGGATTGCAGGCGGAGTGCCGGGCTGGCCTTTCCCAGCCTGGTGCTCCCAGGGGGTTCAGCCCAGTGTATCTGCGAGGTGCCAGGTTGGGAAAGGCAAGCTCAGTCCGCTGGCAGGTTTGAAGGGCTGGCGTCGCCTGCCCCGTACTTATGGGGTGGGCGTGTGCGCAGCCAAAGCTAGGCCGGTTGATGGGCTAAATGGATGTGCTATTCAGCACAGTCAGCTGGACCCACGTGGGCTTGGGGAACGGCGTGGGAGGGGCCCACAGACTGCATTCCAGCCTCCGTGAGCTGCGGGGTGTCCCGCCCTGTTCTGGAATGCACCCGAGTTACAGCCGTGCAGCCTTCCCATGGCGGAAGCCTCAGACCCACGGAATGGGATACTGGGCATGAAACCCAGCTTCCCAACATCGCCAACTTTTCTTTTTTTTCCAGAAGAGCAAGTTTCTAGACCTCATGGTTGTGAGAACACACTTGGAACTGTGTAAAGCCACTCTGGGCAAAGCTGGATGAATTGTGGCACATGGCAGGGCCCTCACTTCACTGCATCCCCCCCCCCCCCCACGTGGATCATTTAGCCTGTGCTGCATCATGAGAGAAAACAGAGCCCAGTGCTGTGGAATGGAAGCAAGGGACACCTGATTGCATTGCCCAGTCCTCAGTCCCTGCACATTATTCAGACCGATGCTTTAATGGTCGAGAGTCGGGATTATTTTGCAGGGTTGCAAATTACTATTATTTTTTAGCTCAGTGACCAGCAGGTTTGGTGGATTGCTTAGTGCCACTTCATCCAGCAGGACACCCTCCAAATGCTGTGGACTACAATTCCCAGCATCCCCAGCCAAAACAGCTGGCTGAGGGATGCGGGAGTCGCATTCCAACGCACCTGGAGGGCGCCAGATCAAGCCGACCGAGGCAGGCAGAGCGTGTCCTGCGCTTGATGCGGTGCAGCTTCTGGCAGTTTGCAAGCCGGCAAGTCCCACGAGCAGCCGGCCAAATGGCTGATGGCTCCAGAGGGCTTCGGGGCCCGTGGCCCCCGGCCCAGCCCTGCCCTGCCCTCGCCCCAACCTCGCCTCGCGCCACGGCCCTTCCGCGCGCTCCGCTCGCCTCCCCTCCTGGCCTCGCCCCTCTCGGCCTGGCTCCGGGAAGAAGGCCGCCACAGCCCGCCTCTCCACACCTGTCCAACAGGCAGCAGCTGGTGGTGAGCAACCCGCCGCGTCCGGTGCGGCACGGCAGCGTCGTGCAGCTGGTCCACGGGATCACGGCCCGCTACCTCAACACGTGAGTCCTCCGCCCCCGCCCCCCCGCCTTGGGCCCCCCGCCGGGCTCAGACTGGCCTGGCCTGGCCATTAGCAAGCTGCCCGCACCAGTTCAGCCAGTCCAGCTCGGCACTGACATCCGGCCAGCAGAGCCAGGAGGCCGGCGGCGAGGCAGGAAGGGGTCTTCGCTCCCCGTCTCTCGTGATGCTCGAATGCTGTGGCATCCTCTCCTGAAGGCCACGTCTGGGGATTCAGGACGGATGGAATTCCCCTCCACAGCGTGCTTCCCCCCGCCCCCGGTTTGGGTGGTTTATTTATTTATTTTTATTTAAAGCTTTTCTAACCCATCCACCACTAGCGTCTTACAATGAAAAGGGAGGAGGGGGCCGATGGCTGCTAGTCCTGGGGGGTTCATCCTGTCTGCAGCACACCTCTGTCCATCAGTTGCTGTGGGGGAGTGCCCCGTGCCCTGCTTGTGGGGTCCCCAGGGCCACTGCGCAAGCAGACTGCTTTCACAATCCCCACATCCGCACCCTCGCGAGGGGCTCCTCCGGGCCCTTGCTGTTTCGGGGGCAGGTGCCTCAGAGGTGCGCGCTCCGGCTGGACGACCCCTGGCCAGCTGGGTGTTGTGGCCTGTAGCTGGCCACAGTGGCCAGTGGTCGAGGGCTCCGAGCTTCCGCAGGGACACAAGCTGCTGTCAGAGATCTCTCTGGTGCCCGCAGAAGCCTCTGGAAAGTTTGCAAGCAGGACAGGTGTGTGCAGGTAGCTGCAGAGGGAGACAGGTGGACCGTCCCAGACCTGTGGCCCTTTACCAGAAAAGCTTTGAAGGGCCAGCCCAGCACTTGGAATAGACTCGGAAACGGACTGGGGGCCAGTGCGATGCTCTCTGTGCGCCGCACGGCCGCATCCCTCACTACCCGATTCCCGAGCACGCCTCCATGATGCAAGCGGAGAGGCAGATGACTGGATAGAGGGGCTCCGGGGAGCCTGCGGCGACTCCCGTTCCTGCGTTCTCTTCCCAGGCACGATGTCGCGGCCCCTCTGAGCCCTCACTCCCAAGAGGTTTCCTGTTACATCGATTACAACATTTCCATGCCGGCTCAGAACCTTTGGAGGGTGGTAAGTCGGATCTGGGACAAGGCCTGCTTGAAGCCGGCAGGGCTCAGGGCATCTGCGCGGGTGTTGCCGTCTTTCCTGCTCAGGATTCCGTGCGCACCAAGAGAGAGGATTTTCCGGGGAAGCAGTCTCCTTGGCAGTCTTTCAGGATCTGCAGCGGAGGGATTGCCCCCTCCTGCCTCCACCAGCAGTTCTGAAACACAGAATCCAGGCAGCTTTCCGGGCCTTTTTGGTAGTTCTTACTACCTGCATCACTGTCGGGGGGAAAAAACCTGTTTGCCCTGGATGTCTTACCTAGCAATCCAGTTTAGCACTTCTATATTTAATTTGGATCCGGAAAACAAGAAAAGCCCATGTCACAGGGTTGCTTTTGTGAGGGCAAAATTGAGAGGAGGGGAACAATTATGTAAGCTGCCTTGATTTCCTTGATTTGTCTGCAGCCTAAAGTTGCCACGTTACTTTCTGCCCCGAAGTACTCCACAGGCTCTGGACGGTGTTGCCTGGCCTGCTCCAGGTGCCAGCGGGGGGTAAAAACCAATTAACAAAATGAGAATAGCACCCCCTTCTTTCAGGGGGCCTTTTTGCCCTTCGGGAGGAGTGAGGTGTCCCTCTAGCGATACTTCTGGGTGTATCTCTCATGTTGTGCAATTCCTTAAAAACAAGGAATTTTTAAGGACAAGTTGTTGATGCAGATGATGAAAATCGATACGAGAGTCATAAATGCTTGCAGTCAAAAAAGCGGATTTTTCTAAGCGAGTGTTGGAGACAAGCGCAGGCATCCTGGGCATGATGCTAAGGACTTTAGCAGAAAGGGCTGTGTTTTCCAACAACTGAAGGTCCTACCTGGTCCCACATGGCTCTTTTCTAAAAACGTGGTTACAAAAAATTGACTTCAGGTAGAAGCATCATCAACCCTGATCCTTTTGTTGGAATGAGATATAATGGGAATGCATAAATCGGCCAATTACATAAAAAGAGATCTTGAAGTTAAGAAATTCTGCAATTCTGGGGAAGAAGAAGGTACTCTCCTTTCACAAGCTGTCTCTTTAGTCCTCCCTTTTCATATAGCGGCCTAAAGTAGTTACAGGCTGCATCAATTCTGTGTTGAAATTCCGTCCTTCAGGTGTTAAACAGTGTAAGCACAGAATACCAAAGGAGAAGGCAGTATTGATCCCATGGAAGATCCGTCTGTCTGTCCGTCCGTCTCTGCCTCAAACCCACATAATGATCAATGAGCTCCCATGGTAACTTTCCATTTCAGGACATTGTGAACCGGGACTCTGATACAGACGTTTGGAAAACGATCCGGTCTGAAGTAGGGCTTGTCCATCTGAACACTTCAGCAGTGCTCAAGGTAGCTGGGTTTTGGCAAGCAGTCCCCCAAAATTTCCTGGAGCGCATCAGAGAGAGAGACGGTGGGCTCCCTCGTCTGCTGGTGCTCGCTTTCCAGTTTTAACCAGTTCGCGTCTCGCATCGCGGTCCTTGCTCTCGTCTAGCACAGAGGGTGGAAATGCACCACACTCGTTGCGTCGGAGCTGGCTGCCCTCGGCTCCTTCCTCACTACTCTCTTTCTCCCCTTCGTTTCTGCTTCCTCAGCTCAGCGGAGCGTCTTTGCCTGAGTGGGGTTATCGGCAGCTGGAGATTATCGGGGAAAAAACGTCCAGGGGTTACCACCAGAGCATGTTGTGGAATGTGGAGGAGCACCGATATGGGAAAAGTCAGTTGAACCTACACATTCATGCAGATCTTCTTTCTCAGAGCAAAGTGGAGCTGCTGCTCCGGAGAGCCGCGGAGGCTGTCCATCTCGGCTGCAAATCGCAGCTTCGGTGGAATGCTTTCCATGGGCAGCACCCCGCACTCAGTCGGTTAGCCTCAGCCTTTCCTACCCTTTGGACACGCACGCACGCACGCACGCACGCACAGAGGTCTCATCACAAACACATTTCTCCCAGCCCTGCTCCCCTCGGGGCTTTCTACTTCTAGCACTTGTGAGGGAAATCACTTGCATGTCTCGGCTCTCTTACAAGGTCACAGATTAGGGAAGGCAAGGAGAATCCAGTGTGGCGTCGTGGTGAAGAGCATGGGACTGGGACTCAGGCGATCTGGGTTCGAGTCTCCGCTCGGCCATGGAGCCCACTGGGTGACTCTGGGCCAGTCACAGACTCTCAGCCCAACCTACCTCACAGGGTTGTTGTTGTTGGGATAAGATGGAGGAGGAGATGTAAGCTGCCTTGAGCCCTTTGCAGGAAAATGGCAGGATATAAATCGGAAAATAAAATAAAATAAAAATCCCTGGCCAAGGGAGCAACATCCTTACCTCTGGCCTCTCAAGAGATCAGGAGAGCTCCCTGAGTTTTCCTGGATGCAGCCCGCAAGGCGTGCATCTGATTTAATGCTGTGAAATGCAGGAAGTTTTTGGAGCGATCCACAAAGCCCTTATCGGCAAGTGGACGCGATCGACTTCCAGGAGTGCTGTAGCAGTTTGGGCTGCCGCTTGTTGTTGGCACAGAAACGGATGCTGCGATCGAGCTCACCGTCCCTCTTTTTCCGCTCTCGGTCCTGTGGTTGTATCTCTGTCTGTTTTGCGTTCTTTCAGGCCACGAGCAGAAAGAGAGAGAGGTGGAGTTGCATCTGCCCACACAGATCAGCATCAGCCAGAATCTCAGCTTCATGGCCAAGTTCTCAGAGCTGCAGGTGAAAGAAAAGGAGCTGGGAGACGAGGGTGCTTTTCGGGTGTTCTTCAGTTCGTTTAGTTCTTTCTTTTGTTGTTTTTTTAACGATCACTTGCATACATTTGTATGAAATGCAGAGTTTTCTAGCAAAGATGTCTAGTTGTATCCACATGCATAGCTTTAACAAAAACAGCTCAGATATTGAAATAAGTTTCTGCTTGGAGGTGGTGTTTTAGGTTCTGGTGTCAACAAAGCCTTGGGCTCATCAGCACTCCATGCAGGAGCCACGTATCTTCTTTACTTTTTTCAGTTTGTATCAGTGCAGTTTTTTCCTTGAGTGTTGCATTATCAGTCTTCTAGCTATTCGAAGAACATAGAAATCACTTCATGTGGACCGTTCACTGATTTCTGTGAAGCAGGCAAATACTTCAAAAGCACTAATTTTGTAATCATCAGCATATATTAGTGAGAGGTATTTATCCATAAATATTGGTGATATTCATCAGTATATAGTAAAGGCAAAATGTATTGCCGTACAGCCTCCCCTAAGCAATAACATTGCCAAAACGTGTTTAAAAATAGCAAGGATCGTACTACAGCGCCAGCGATTAGGTTGATCAATGCATTGCTTATTAAAGCCACGGCGGCGTCCAGTAGGCAGGAAACCCACCTTGGGGCTGGATAAGACACGGTCTAAGCTCCAGAGATGTGACAAGCGTCTTGAGGCACCTGTGAAGGTGCCTGGAGCAGTTTCTCAGGTTTCCAGGTGAGCACACAGGTGCAAAGGCTTTGGGGGATTCCCATAGCAGCCTGTGCTGGAATAAGACGTTTGCGTTCATTTTGGGCCTGGCTTCTTTGTAGCTCCTCCCTGTGGAATCCATTCCACAAGTCAGATGCTGTGGCTTAGCACAGAATTGCAATGCTCTGCTTCCCAGTTCTCAAGTTTTTCAGTAATTTTAGTTTGGCGACGGAGTGGAGAAGGGTGTGGAGAAGAGTGCCTTTGCCCCATCCCCTGCAAAGTGTATCCTGGGACAGGGCTTAATTTATTGTTTAGTTGCAAAGTCGTGTCCGACCCACCGTGACCCCATGGACAACACTCCTCCAGGCCTTCCTGTCCTCCACCATCCCCCAGAGTCCACCCAAGCCCACCCCCACCACCCCAGTGACCCCATCCAGCCCCCTCGACTTCTGCCGTCCTCTTCTTCTTTTGTTCCCAGCAGCCGGGTCTTCTCCGACGACTTGTTCTTTCTCATTATGTGGCTTAATATTCATGATAAATATGAACTCTTAAGTCAGCACATAGATCAATTCTTCCTTTGCAAGGCTGAGCAGGTCAGGCTGGGAACGGATTGCAGTCTAAACGTTCTCAATTGTTCTGTTCTAGTGGAAGATATTAACTCTGAAAAATGAGGATACAGAGCACAAGTACAGCTCTTCTCCCTTGGACTGGATCACCATGGATACCAACATTGCTTACTGGTTCCACTCCACCTCGGGGGTAACTTATTTAAATTACTTATGCGCCGTCCTGTAACACACGTTCCTGGAACTGCTTTGGACGGGGCTGAAGAACCCCAGGCATGCAGACTGCCCACAAATCTGGCCCTCTGTGCCCAGACCCTTCCCTTCCTCCCACCCGCCAGTCATGATTTCTCGGCTTTTGTCTATTTCTCCCCTCCAACACACACACTCTAAACAGGTGAAATGCCTGTTCTAGTGAAGGCTTTCAGCCCTGTAGGTTTGGAGGGTCCACCTTCAGCTCCATTCACGGCTTGGATGCAGCTCCCCAAGAGCTGCTCCAAAATGGAATCTGGCCCTTGGCCCCAAAGAATTTCTGCCGCCTTGGCTTGCATTGTGTTACGGCGTAGACAGAATGCAAACCACACATTCGACAGCCACGTTGAAATCAGCACAATTGATTAAAATAGATAAAAACAGGTTGAAGTAAAATACAGGGCAGAGGGACCACGATCCAGAGAGCGAAGGAGTAAGACGACAGCATTACTTAAAAGGCCTGGGAAAATAAAAAGGTATTTTATTGGCCTGGCGTTGAGAAAACATTGGAGCAGGTGCGGGGTGGGCCTTCCTGGAAGGAGCATGGGGAAGCCATGGGACCCGTCGGAGACGCGCCGAAAGTCTCCTGGGCTGCTCCTTGAGATGGCTCTTCATCAGGAGAGGAGCCTTCCGCGTCGATCTTTGCACTGTTAGCAGGCCTAGACGCACGCGCCTCCTGCGAGGCGGAGTCCAGGTCACCCTGGGAGGCAGTTTGTGCTCTTCACAGGCCACAGGTAGTTTTCCTCTTCCTACAAGTTTTACGAGCAGTGCTACAGGCTGACACAAAGAACCGAATGATGTGCTCCCGTCGTCACGAAATACATGCTCAGAGTTCCTTTTAGAGCAGGGTTATTTCTAATGATTTTAGGCTGCCTTCAAGGGTGGGTGGGAGATCTCCGTGACCAGCCCTCGGCAGAAAAAGGCACCCCGAGGGGTCTTTTCACGCTGTGCCTTCTTCCTGATGCTGTTCAGGCTCAGATCCATCTTCTGGGGAACATGGTTACCTGGACCTCTGCCAACGCGGCCACCGTGGTGTATGTGACGTTGCTCTTGGGGTACCTCCTGCGAAGGCGGCGGAACATCCGGGACATCCCTGAAGGTCCGTTTTTTACAGAAACACCTTTTGTGGGGGGCGGGGTGCTTTGCGGTGTTGGCCCCATTAGAGCGAATAGAACAAAACCTACCCCCAAAAGTCTTGACTGTTCCTGTAACTAATGGCTTGCCTTTCCCCCACCCCATCCTGGTGAGCTTTCCCCCCCCACTTCAGCCCTGTATGGCCTGCAGTCTGGGGTGGGACGGGACGGGACCCTTGGCTCCCAGGAGTTGCCCCAGGTGACAGGAATGGCCGGGTGGGGGGCCGCAGGTTCCCCATCACTGCTGCAGTTTCAGGGGCAGATGCTGCTGCTGCCTTACCAGATCCTGGAAACGCAGCCTCCGGCCCGCTAAGAGCATCTGCCATCCCATCCAGGGCACCAGGGTGGGGTCCGTTTCCCCCCCGTGGCTGGGTGAAGCCAGCCGGCATTAAAGGCTCCTGAAGTTGGCTTTGAGTCACAGGGCTTGAACTCGCAGGATCTCGGGGCGGTTCTGCGCAGCAAACGGCTCCCCAGGACTTGGCGCATCCTCCTCTTGGCCATGTGAGGGCGAGCACAAGGGGGTGCCCCGCTGGTCCTCTGCTTGGGAAGTGCCCGAGAATCTCCTGCCTGTATTTTCGGCCGGTTGAGCACCCGTGCAGTGCTGCCCGCAGGGGCTTGGCGCACCACGCAGCTCACCCGTCCGGGTCCAGCGCTTCCGTGCCGGGCGATCTCATGCGGGCCTTTTTCTGTCTTGGCAGAGGCCTGGCAGCAGTGGGTGCTGGCCGGAGGCCTCTGCTTGGGCGGCTGGGCGGTGAACTATCTGCCCTTCTTCCTGATGGAGAAGACGCTGTTCCTGTACCACTACCTGCCTGCAGTCACTTTCCAGATGCTCCTGGTCCCCGTGGTCCTGCAGCACACGAGCGACCACCTTTGCAGGTACGGGCCGCGGTGCGGGCTTTGCCGACTGCTTTGGGGTGCGGAGGATCGCAGCTACGGAGGCTGATTTCTCGGCTGGGCCCGGGGCGCCGCCTCAAGCGCCCACGGCTTCGCTCTCCCTGCCCTGCTCCCGTGGGCTCTCAGGCCAGAGTGCATTTGCATGGACTTCTCATCTGAGCGCAGTAAAATCTGACTGGATCAGGCCTTCGTGCCCACTCATGCAGACCCATCCTGAATGGGGCCGGCAAAACTGCACTGTTTCCATGGCTGAGCCTGTGCTTCCCTGGAGAGCAAACGGGGACAGCGCTGCTTTTGCTGCCAGAGGACCCAGCTAGGGCTGAAAGGTCTCCCCTCTGAAACCCCGGAGTCGCTGCACCGTCTGTTGGCCAGATGGAAATCCAGTCCCCCTGGGGCCTTCCAAGGTTGCCTAGGCTGACCCTACTTTGGGGGCTTTGCAGGGCTTCCTCACCTGCCTCTTAATTCCAAGAAGCTCCAGTGTCTCTCGAGGCCGCTTCCGGCAGGAGGAGCATGAAACTCGAATGTGCCGGCAGCGCGCTTGTGCCTCGGGCTCCCTCGTCACCGGCACGCAGCCCGAGAGTGCCTCAGAACCAGATCTGGCACTCGCCCCGGAAGATTTTCCACCCGGGCCCGACCACACTGCGCAAGATGGGCCGCGGCGGCATGGGCCTCTCCCGACGGGGCTGCTCGGGAAGCGTTCCTCCCATCAGCTGGGAGGGAGCAAGGGCGGGCGAGGGGCCCATCCTTCGACCCTCCTGGCTCCGCACCGGATGCCTTCGCTTCAGGGTCGCTCCCCCTCTCGTTCCCACCTTGGCAGGTCCAGGCTCTCCAAGAGCATGCACAGCGCCTTCGTGGTGGCCTGGCTCTCCGCCGTTTACCTGGCCTACCGCACGTTCCGGCCGCTCACCTACGGCGAGCCGCCCCTCTCCAAGGCGGAGCTGCAGGCCCTGCGCTGGAAGGACAGCTGGGACATCCTCATCAGGAAGCGCTCGCTGTGAGGACGTGAGAGTGCCGGTGGCTGTGCGGAGGACCGGGTGCGGCCAGCCCAGCGAGGGGTGGCGGGGATGGGCCCGGCCCCACAGCCCCCCCCCCCCAGCATCGCTCTGCCTCCCTGGATGAACGTTGGAGCGCCAGCGCCGCTCTTTCTCCCAGGATATTTCTGCTGCAGAGGGGAAAGGGTGGCCAACGCACCGTCGCCGGCTGAAGGAAGTGACTCTGGCAGCAGCCCTAACCACCCCACTCTGAATTTTGCCCTTCGCCAGTGCAGTGAAGGTGTCCCCGAGGGAGGGGCTTGGGGACCTGGACAGCCTGTGGAGATGCTGCTCGGCCCGGCCCGTCTTGTTTTGGGGTGTGGATGCCCCCAACGGGAACGCTTCTGTGGCTGGAAACGGGGAGGGGGGAAGGTACTGATCAAAGGCGCCCCTCGAGGGCTGGGTCTTGCTTGTCCGTGTCTGAAGAACCTGTTTGCCGAACAGCTGTCGGTCACAATGCAAGGCAGCCTGGCCCCGGGGAGTGGAGAAGCACTGGCCGTGTCTGTCCCCTTTCAGACCAGGGGAGAGCGCGGAATCTCTGGACGATTTGCAGTGTGCGTCTCAAGCTGAAATAGGAAGGTGCCTTGGCTCGAGAAGGGCTGTGCCCCAAAAGCAGGAGGAGGGCACCTCTGCCTCTCTTGAGGAGAACGGCCCGAGCCACCTCTCAGCAGGCTGGTAGTTCTGGATGCCAGGTTGGTGTCTTGCGGAGAGACCGGCTGGCCTGCCCCACATGCAAGGCGGCTGGGCACTGCACACAAGCAGCTGCGTTCACCCGCGTGCCACGAGCCGCCTCTGCTTGGTGGGAGACTGACACAGCCCACCTTCCTGCTGCCAAAAATCCGTTCCAGAGAGCCAAGGAAGCCCAGGGCGAGACTGGCCTTCCCGTGCATTGCAGCCAGCCCCTCCTCCAAGTCACACACCCAGGGGTCACGCCAGCAAGCCCCCTCCAGCACAGAATACACGCCCCGTGGCCGCATCCACAGAGCGCTTTTCTCCTCAGTAACGAGGGCACCTGCGTCAGCCCCCGCGAGCCAGCTCAGCTAAGAGGGGCAACGGTGCTGTTTCAGCAAACACCGAGGGGGGATCCTTTCAGCAACCCCAAACCGTGTCTGTCGGGCAAGTGCTGGGGCTCCAGCCCCTGCGGGAACTGCAGTGACCATCCCGGCTTCTGGTGGCTCGGGGCAGCTTTTCGAAACAGATGCAACGGAAAAGGGACCCGCAGCTGTGGGTGGGTTTGCTTGCCTTTTATTAACGGATAAAGTCAAAGTAACCGTGCGGGGCTTGGATTACAGCAGGGATTACAGATGCTTTTTCCCTCCTCACCTGCCTAAGATTTTAAGGTATTCTATAAAGTCACAACTGGAGTGCAAATCAGAGAAAAAAAGCACTGCCGTCTTGCCGAAGCTCAAACCAGACGGCTTGTTTGGAAAGACACACCTGAATGGGAGTGCAGGGGAAGTGGGAGTGGGGCGAGGCGTGCAAGGACGTGGGAAGCAGGCCCCACAGAAAGCAATGCGCCCCGTCAGTCACGAGCCCTTCAGTTCACTGATTTCCATGGGCTTCGCAGCTCAGCCCACTGCGTGTCCATTCGCATCCTTCCAGGGTGCTGAGCTGGACAGACCCGGGATCACAGCCTGGTTGCCGTGGCTGCTTCCCACGTGGCAGGATTCAGCCGTGCTGGCGAGACAGGGGGTGCAACCTGCACACGGTTCTGGGCACAGAGGGAGGTTGGGCATTTCCTGCCTCGCTCTCCGAATTCCTTCTCCCCAAGAATGCAGGACTCTGATTTTCTCAATCTTCCCTTATCTGGGTTAGTTGGTCAGCGAACGAAAGCTTATTTATATACCGTCTCGTTTGTGTGGCAGAGGCGATGGCTGCCTGCGCCCCCGCCTGTATGCATGGGCAGGCAACATGGGGCACGCCTGCTCTTTCAGCTCTGGGCCCGTGGGGGGACGGGCAAAGGGCCCCATGCCTCCCTTCGTCTCAGGCGTGGCAGCCCACCGGCTTGGCCTTTGGAGTGAGGCGGCAGCCTGCTTTCTATTTCTAGCCGGGGATCCTCTTTCTTCCCCACTCCAGTTTACGGGGAGGGGCTGGGGCGGGGGGAGGCTAGGAAAGGCGCCTGAAGCAGAAGGAAGACTCACGTGATTCTCTCCTCGCTCCATTAAAAAGATCAAGTGGCACTGGAAAGTCTTCCCTTGAGAGACGCTGGCAGTTGCAGCCACGGCTGGTGGCGATCAGGGCTACCATCTGCTTAGAAAAGGGCTGTGGAGAGCACCCCTCTGGCTGGCCTGGGGGGGGGGGGGCATGCACTAAACTGCCCCCACACACACTCTTTGCTACCACACTTAATGCGAGAGCAGCAGGTAAGAAAAACATGAATGCAAAGCCAAATCTTTGTTGTACTACCTTGCAGGCCCAGGAGTTTCTGGTTGTTCCAGGAGCGGAGTGGGGCTGGCTTGGGAACCGCCCCCCCCCCCCGAAGCACGGGGGGGGGCAAAGCCGTGGAGGAGGCAGCAGTCCACGGCCTCTGCACCAAGGCCTTGGCCTCTTGGCCGGGTGCCCCTGCATGCCCCCGAGCCCCCTCGCGTCCGGCCGGTGTGGAGGCGCCTCCAGGGCTTCTGGCCGCGCTCAGTGGGGGCGGCTGCTGGACTCCAGGTGGGAGCGCTTGCCGGGCGCCAGGAGCGGGCCGCTGTCCACGTGCTCGGGGAAAGGCCGCTTGGACGACCGGCTGTGCCCGTTGACGGCGCCACGGTGCCACCGGCAGAGGTCGCCGCTCAGGATGTCCTGGATGTGCTGCACAATGAGGTTGATGGCGACTGCGGGGGCAAGCGAGGCGAGGCGTCACTGGGGCGACGGGGCAGCCACCCTCACTCCTTGCCCCCCCCCCCAGAAGATCAGGGAGGTCCCTGCACCTGGCGGGCTTTCCCCGGAAAAAGACTCCTCCGCAGCCTTTCAACCTGCCCGGGACCCACAGCCAAGGACACCCTCCCACTGGAGTTGAACGGGGAGAACTTCCCATAAAGCAGATGCCTTACAGACCGGCACATAAGGCGACCCCTGAGATAGGAAACAGCGAATCAAAAATTGGGGGCCATCTTGTGCACCCAACGTACGACAAACACCAGAAAATCAGCCCAAAATCTCGACCTCGTCTCACGTCGCCTTATGTGCCAGTATATACGGTAGGCAGCATCCGCCTAAGGCAGGCCCACTGAAAAGGGGGCACTCAACCTATTTACTGATGCACCGGCCAGAGGGAGTTTTGTGAGAGCGGGCCAAGCTTGGCAAAGCGGAGCCAAAAGGTCCCTTGTGTGGGAGGCCGATCTAGCGGCAGGAGCTCCGCTGCCTGCGCATCCCTTTCCTTCCCAGGCTTTTCCGGAGACAGTTCCCCCTCCCAGACGTTTTCCCAGGGGGCCGAAGCAGGGTGCCAAACCTTGCAAGTCCATTGCAGGGGGCAGGAATAGGAGCAGGACCCCCTGAGGGTCCCCAGACTCGGGCTCAGGCCGCACGAACCGTCTGCCGAGACTCCTTTGGCCGCGAGGCGCTGCCGGCCCCTGACCTGGTCCTCGGCTCGCGCTCTGGCCAGAGTCTGGGCGAGGCACTCTGGGGGGCAGCGCCAGACAGGCTAACGCCACGCGGGCCGCTCACCCATATTGTCCACCCCTCGCGGGATGATCACGTCTGCGTACTTCTTGGTCTGCAGGTGGGAAAGAAACAACCTCAGTCAAAGTCACAGCCTGGGAAGAAACCCCCAGAAGCGCCTGGTCACACCCACCACGAGCGGGGAAGCCAAGGGGGCCAGCCCCACCGACACCGCGGGGGAGTCCCTCGGATTCCACCAGTCGTCGCACCTGGCACCTGCAAGGTGCCACGAGAAGCGCAGCGGGAGCCGTTTCCCGCCGACCACCAGGGCGTGCTCGAGGGAAGGGGACGCTGGAACTTGAGGTGGGGCTCCGAGTCCCACAGGCAGCGGGGCAGAGCAATGGAGGCCCACAAGTCAGCCATCCCAGAACGGCAGTCCAGCTGCCTTCACTGGGAAGCCGAAGCTGCGCGACTTGGGCCTCTCCGGCTCCCTTGTTAGGACAGGTCAGAGCGAGGACGGACAACGGGCTCGTGCTGCCTTGCCCGTTGCCAATCGCGATCGACCCGGGGATGGAAGCCAAGGTTTGTTGCCGAGTTGTGACCGCTCCCAATCTTTTTGTGGTTAACAACCCAGATAAGCAGCAGTGCGGGTTTGCCTGTGTCAGCCTGATTCACGAGCGGCCCACGTGCAGCTCGCTCCCAGGACAGCAGTTCCCAGTGAACCGAGCGGCAGCCTCACTTCGCACCATTCTGGGCAACGCAGGCCTGGGGTATGGCCCAGGCGGCCCTTCGACTCCCAGCAGCTGGAAGCCGGCGTGGCCGGCCACGACTGAGGCCTCCCGCTGCACCCGGGCCAGCAATCGGGCCCACTCCAGCGGCCCTGCCGTCCTTGAATGCCTTCTCGCTGGAATTGCCCCTCCCAAACTACGCATGGGGCAGAGCTGCAGCCGAGAAGGGGCTCCACCTACAGCCTGGCACAGGCCACCCGTGCCCCCCTTTTCCCTTCTCTTTCCAGGCTTTCCCGAGTCAATTCTTCCTTCCAAACATTTCCCTGGGAAGCCCAAGCAACTGCTCCAAGCGTTGGCCGGCTGCAGCACTGGGGCCCCTCAGCGCATGACACAGCGCAGCCCCGCTCCGAAACCAGCGACAGACGGTCTGTGGGGCTGATCCTCACGCCGGGCGCAAGGGGACTCGGTCCAGTGCCTAGGCAAGGCCTTGCCCGAGTTGATACCAGGTGGCTCCTGGTGAACTTTCTAAAGACGGGGAGGGGTGACGGATGAGCGGCAAGGTGCATGGTTGGGCTGAGGAGGTCGCTTCTGCGAAAACTCAGCTTGGAAGGATCAAATGCTGGAAAAGACCCCCAACGGCCAGAATGAACACTGGGCTAAAACCTCGCCTATGCAGGGCCCTTCCCCTGCCTGTGCTCTTGGGAAGAAAAAGAGCACTACACCTGGAGGCCAGGTGGGAGGCACAGGAAGTGGGAGGCACAGCGAGGAATCTGTCCTCTCGCTTCCCCCAGCCCTTCCTTTCTGCACAAAGGGGGTTTTGGGAGGGGTTTTGTTACCGGCAAACAGAACTCCTCAAAGGCCGGCTTGACAAACGTCGTGTACTGGGTCAGGATCTGCTCCAGGTCCCTTCCTCGTTTCATGTCCCGAAGAACTAGAGCAAAACACGCCAACAGGAGGCTGAGAGCGTCGCTGGATGCGGCCTTCTCAAGACCCCAGAGGTGGGAAGGGCGGCTGAAAGCACATCGCTTGGCGAAGCCCTCCCCCCCCCCTCTGCGTGCCAGGTGTGCCAGACTCGGGCCCTGGCCAGGAAGGTGGCCGCTTCCCTCCACGACTCCGCCCCGAGCAGACAAGCCCTTCCCCGCACCCTTCAGCAGCAGAACTGGTCTGGTCGAGCACTCGCAGGCCAGCGGGGCCCTGGCCTTACCTCTCCGCGAGAGCCGGACGTCCGAATCGGTGTCCACAAAGAGGCGGAGGTGGAACATGTCCCGGATGTCTTGCGTGTAGAACACCAGAATCCCCTCAAAGAGAACCACGTCCGCAGGGTACACCACCGTGGTCTCAGGCAGCCTAGAGCAGAAGCGGTCAGTCTCCCAGGAGGCACGGGGCTGAATCCGGGCAGACTGGATCCCCTGCCGGGGGGGGGGGGTTCTTCCCCTCCCTTGCCCCACAGCCCTCCAGCGCCCTGGCAACAGAGACTTGTGGCAGGGGGTTGGCTGTGTCATGGGGGGGGAGCTCCCAGAAACTTCCCTCTTGGCTGAAGACAGCGCGATCCTGTAACTGTTCACGGGCATGCAGGCAAACGCCCTGCACAAGCTGCCATGGTGTAAGCCAGTTCACACACCACCCCTTTCTGCGGGTTGCCACGTGTCATTTCCTCAAGCAGTCGCCCGGCGGTGCCAGGAGGAAGGGCCCGCGCGGCTTCCCCACTCGTGACGCGCGCTGGCTGCTCTCAGCCCAAGGGACGGCCCGGCTGGCTCCCTCCCCCTGCGGGCAGAGTTTTCTGCATGCAGCCCTTTTGGAAGCGTGCCTGTTCCGTGGGGAACACGAGCCCGTTCGCAAACCCAGCTGCCTGACCCGGCTGGGGGTGTCTCGCTGCCCTTGGGCAGGTGCCCCGGCCAAGAGGGCCTCGTGATCCGTGCCCGCCACCCCAGCGCACTCGCCCATGAGCCGACGGTGCTCGGCAGGCAGCCCTGGCCACACCGAACTCCGGAGCATCAAAGGACTTCCCTCCGGCAACCACATTAAGCCAAGCCGAGGCAGGGGAGGATGCAGGCCAACCCGGTGGGCGCAGGGGGACGTGGGAAGGCAAAGCTGACACCCCGGGTCCCTAGTCCAGTGGACTGCCCCCCGCCCCGCTTCCTGTCCTCTGGGGCTGTGGGACTACAAGCTCCATCATCCACGGCCAGCATAGCCGTGCCTGAATTTGGCGAGCGGCTGTACTCCAACATGCCCTGGAGGGCACAAGGCTGCAGTAAAGCTGGCCCTGGCCAGTCTGGGAAGCAAGCGGGGGGGGGCCCTTGGATGTCCTCCCCGTGCCGGCAGGGACGCCGGGGAGCCCAAGCAGAGCAGCCCCGCCAGACATAAACGCAACCCACCCCAACATGCTCCCCAGCAATGGGGCTGCCAGGTGGTGCCCTCGCCCCCTGCGGGGCAGGAACGGAGGCCCCCGAGGCCAGGGGGCGGGCAAGCAACACGACGGGCAGGGGCGCTGACCTGGAATGGGTCACGAAATCGTAGGTGGGCACCTCCACGGTCTGGCCGTCCACGATGCTCTTCAGGGTCATCTGCATCAACTCGTTGTCAAAAGCATCTAAAGGACGCGAGAAGCGCAGCCAGGCGTCACGCAAGCAGCGGCCAGATCGGCGCACAGGGTCTGTCTCGGACGTATCACGGCCCGCGTGCTCCAGCTGCGGTGCGGGGGGTGCTTCCTGTGCCACCTGGCCGAGCGGGGCCCACATCCCTGAGGCAAAGGGGGGTTGCTGTGGCGGACCAAGCCCACAGAGCACAGCTTGCGGAAGCAGGTCCAAGCCCAAGGGGCAGCTTCCTTTGCTCCCCATTTTACAGGTGGGAATGCTGAGCCACGACATCGGGTGCTGCACTATGTGACGAGGTAAAGGCAGCCCGACACACAGACAGAAATGCAGCATTACCAGATCGTCTGGTTCTTCCTTATACTGCCCTTTTCTGCTTTATGAATATAGTTTAATCGGTGGATTCGTTTTAGCTGCTGCATTTTATGTTCTTTACAGTCTTTTTTCATAGTCTGCGATTTTTTTCAACAGAGAAAAGCAAGATGTGCATTTGAAAATAAATGTCATAAACACAGATGTCCAGTTTCTCCAGAAAACTGTTATTTTAAGAGATGTGATCTGTCAAAAGCTAAAAGGGTATGAAAGAAAATTAACCTCCAGCTCTCCCCCCAAAGGAAGTGTAAAAATAAGCAAATTGCACTCAAATGATGGGAACATACCGAAAATTATAAGTGTTGGTAAGAATGCATGTAATAATCTATTTTGATTAGAAAGCCAGCGGTTGGAAGGTTGGGCTGGAACTTGAAGAGGCTAGTCCTCATGCAGCCGTTAAGTGCATTGGGTGACTTCAGGTTAGTCGCTGACTCTCAGCCTGACCTACCTTGCTGGTTCGCTGTGGGGATATATATTAGGATTATGTAAGCAACCTCAAGTTCCTTATGAGAAAAAATGACAAGCTATTAAAATTATTTTTTTAAAAAATTACAGAGTTGTATTTTTATTTTCTTCCTTACAGTTTCCTCTCTTCCTGCAGATATGGAAAAATAAAGAGAAAGTTTTCCTTGCCTAAATAATATTCTCCCCCATTTGGCAACAGCTGCAATTTACTGGCACTAGTTCTACAGAAATCACCCCCCACCCCCAATTCACTGCTGCGTCAAAGTCAAGGTTCGGATAATCTTTAAAGAGCTAAAACTGTTTGTTCTTGTTTGTTTATATTCCAGTTGACCCCGCAAGGTGGGCATACACAGTTCTTCTCACCGCTACCTGTATCCTCTCTTCCCTGTGAGGTCGGTTGGGCTAGGAGCTGGCGACGCATCCAGTGTCACCTGCTAAGCTTCACAGTCGAGCAGCAACTGAGCCCGGGTCTCACCAGCCCAACACTCCCTTCCACACCATGCTCAGCTTCGGTGTGCATTTGGACTTAGCGCCCAAATCCACAAAGGACGGCGTCTGACCATCCTTCTCTGCTCCGGCCTGTCTCCGAATCCCGTAAGAGCCCGTAAGAGAGGGCTGACTTCAGAACCTCCTTCCAAAGCGGATGACATCAGCACGAACTTGGTGTTCTTTTAGGCACCAAATTCAAGTATCACACCCTGCCATTTTAACCTCTTAATTTTAATGTTTCAATACAGTACATTTTTGTAAATTAAAAAACTGAAAATCTTTTAAAGAATTTTTTTAACACTTAGCCTAAATGTTGTGGCCCTTTTTACGTTGTTTTCATAGCTGTTTTAGTTTGTTGTGTTTTAATAGGTTTTAATGTGATTTATTTATTAATGCGTTTTATGTGTTGTAAGCCTCATGGGAAAGCCTTGGCAGTTATAAATGGCGTATAAATACATACATGTATATATATATATACATACATAAATACTATTTTAAAGCTGACTTGTTCTGCTTTGCTTTGGCTTGTTGGTTCAAGAGCTTCTGCCAAATTTACTTTTTAAATTAAACTGCCTGGGGTTTGTGAAAGTTTTTTATGCTGCATTTCAAAGGCCTCTCCTAACATTTAAAAACAGATGAATGCAATATTAAAAACACACTTAGCAAAGCAAGGATACAGAAGGTTAAAACAAATACTTTCAACACCCCACTTAAAAAACCCCACTCCAATAGAGAGATAAATGCAGCCCCAAAGGCAGCAACCTCACATACCTGGGTGGTCAAAGTTGTACTGCCCTTTCAGGGCTTTTGCCTTCTGCTCCGCCGTAAGCGCCTTGTAGAACCGGTCCTGGCTGAGGATGACCACTTTCCGTTGGCGATGGTCCACCTCGTTCTGGCCCAGCAGCTCCATGATCTTCTCGCATACCGTTGACTTTGGGTGGGAAGCAAAAAGAACAAACAAGTCAGTCCTGACCGATATAAAAATGCACGTATTCTGAAGGGCGACTGATTTTAGCGGCTGTGAACAGGCAGAGTTTTACCCTTAAAGGCAGCCGAAAAATAATTCGGCATAAAGCAGGTAAGAGGCCCCGCGGTGGCCACAGGAAAACTCGGGAGATTAATTTGGAAAACATCATGCACGGAGAAGCCACATGTGTAAACAAGGACTGGGGCAGAAGAATCCTAAAGCAGATTAATAACAGATATTTTAATAGCGCTCACAAAGGTAGCCACGCTACCTTTATATACAACAGGGAATCTGGCAGCACCCGAAAGCCCGACAGATTTGCTATGGACTAGAGTCAATCCTCAGAAGCCAGAAAGGTTATCCTGGCTTGGCACTGGTGTGAGGCGGGGAAATTCAAAGCGGCAGAGCTTGTCAGAGAAGGGTGACCGCCGCATTACAGCACAAATGAATTCAGAATAAACACGGTGCAATCCATGGGAGGATGAGCCTGGACACCCCCAGGGGGTAAAACCCCATTATTGCCATTCCAGCCACGGGGGGCCAGGCTGAACCCCCACACAAACTGGAATCTGGCACAGGGGCCTCTCTTTCGGGTTGCTGATCCTCGAGGGTGCTTGCCTGGCATCAGGGGCACCCCTGCCCAAAAGCTGCTCTACTGGGTGCCACTGGGCCAGCCACAGGCCCTCTCCAGCTAACCTACCCCACAGGGATGTTGTGAGGGTGAAGTGTAGAGGAGACGGCTGCCCTGGGTTCCTTGGAGGAAAAGCAGGGCTCAGGAACTCAACTAGAGCGAAAATCTCTCTGAACACATTGGGAGAGAAGTGCAAATGCAAAATCCTACTTATTAGCATTGCCTTATGCCCCACAGGGACTAGCGCCTTGCACAGACTGAAGCTGGAGAGATGGGGAAGCCTGAAAAATCAACACACCCCTCGGCCCTCCATGCATCGGCGGCTGCCGGGACACAAGGGGCGTTTGCGCGCGCAAGCCGGGGCGCCCGAGGGCCCGTGGCGGGATGCGGCGCTGCAAGTCCGCCTTCGGGGGCGCCCGAACGGCCGTCGGGGCCCCCGCCCGGGGTCAACCCTCCCCCTGCACCCGGGCAGTTCCCGCGCGTCGCGCCCGTCCCCACGCGCCTCTCCTTCCGGGGCTTCCTCCGCCCGGCTCGGCGCATCCCGCCGGTCCAGCCTCGGACACCTCGGGAGCGCCTTCGCCGCCCGGACCCCAACCCGCCCCGGACTCCCACGGCCCCCAGCCCCGCGTGCGCGTGACGACGCCCCGGCGGGTTGCCCCGGCGCCCCCCGCGCTCGCCCAGCGGCCCCCCGCGCTGCACGCCGGGCGGGCCCCCGGGCCGGGAGCAGGGAGCCGCCGCGCGGCCCTCGGCCCGCTCACCTTGCCGCTGGCGGTGCCGCCGCTCCCCCCGATATGCGGGGCGGGTTGGGGTCCGGGCTCCGCCTCCCCGGCGCCCGAGG